TCGTGCAAGAATAAAAAACATGATTATAGAACCATAGCTGACATGCCAGTTGCTCCCGGTGAACAAAGGCAGAGATTAATCAAAGTTCCTTATTTCTGAAACCACACCAAATATCAAATAATACCAATATATCTAAATGCTAGCCTGAGAGGTTTTAATCAGATAGACCTTGGTTAGCAAGTCATTTAAAATATTTCTTGTAACAGATTTAGCTAAGTCAGTTGCAACACATTCAACTGATTTTGCACATTTAGAGGTATTTCAGAATGCTCTATCAAGTTTTGTGGTCGAGAGTAAAACATCCTCAAAACAGTTTTAGAGGACGTCTTAATGTGGTACTCTATTAAGACAAACATGGCTTTAATCTTCTAATGGCAGCATTTCTTTCTTTGATTAAATACAATGACTGCCAAAGGTACTTGGAACACCCAGCAATTTACGCTACATTTGATATCTTTCATTCCTTTCATGAACAAAAAATTACTACTTCTGCCCCCTTCCCCCTAAAACAATGTTGATTATTTAGAGAAATATCTATTTTAGGAAGCAAAGGAAAGTGCTTCCTAAAATCCTAACCCGTTTGATAGTAAATCAACGTTGTTCTGTAGGGGAGAGGGGGATGATTGATTTTGAACTTTAAAATTGACGTCAGTGTTCCAAGACTTTTGGCAGGCATTGTAAGTGTAAATAAGTAGCTGCTTTGTGTACTGATTTTCTGAAAGAAGACTAACCTTTCCTTTAAAGATGGCCAACTTGACACTGCCCTCGACAAATTCTTGGCTTTTGTCAATGCAAAATCTGCAGATGCAAAAGCACAATGATGCTTTACTGTCTTATCCGCAAGAAACAACAGGTAAGTGTCTCAACAGCATACCCAATTTTTCCTACACTTTTTGCAGCCAACATACTTAAAGACGATGGCACAGGAAGCACGAATATAGCAATCCTATGACCAAAGCATTGAATATAACATGAAATTCAAATTTACCTTACAAATTCACATTCGGCACTATACCACATCCCTAAAAGAAAGAACTAAGAAACGTGAAATCAATAAAAGATGTAGATAGAAAAGAAAAAGTAAGTTCTCTACACATTGCAGTTCACTACACACTGTAATGGTTTAGTGGGTTTACCGGGGGCGTCTTCTATGCTTCAATCCACAGTATTGCATTTTCATTCTTCATACAAAGTTACCCACCATTGTAAATTTGTTCTGAAAAATCCGTGGACAGCTGTTGCTTGATCTTTCGTAAATTCTAAAAAGAAAATAACGCAAAATGCAGTCCAATCCCGGTCATTTCATAGTTCGTACGTAATAGTTCATACTTTATCTAGCTCGTACGAAAATCGTTTCCAATAGCAAGAATATCTTTTATGGCAACTTTCGATATTTATAAAGCCTTGATATGTGGAATAAAATTGAAGTCTCGACAACTCGAACAAATTTATTTCCCCTTGAACTTATAGTGTATATAATGTATAAAAATGTGAACAGTAAATGTTATGTATATAAAAATGCACTAAAATGAAATATAAATTGATGCAAAAAAGAAATTATTTGCAGAGTTAATCACCCTATCCATGGTGAAAGTTTCAATATCCAGGTGAGCTTCTCGCAAAACTTCTCCGCCCGGAGTTTCATAGATGCCTTAAAGCAGAAAAAAAATGTATTTACAAATCATTAGACCATCGCACTTTCATAGGATACATACTAAATTTGATTTATTTTAAAAATTCTATCACACAAGGCTTTGTTCCTGACTATAACCTTCAGATTATTACTCATTGCAAGATTCATAGAATCCGGCGGACAGCATATCCTGCGTTTCTTTCTTCTTACATATAAACATCCCATTACCAGTATTTCTACATTAGTTCTCATTATAGGAATACTATATGAAAAGGTACCTTATTTTGTGGTTTAAAAAATGTGCAAGTTCATTGCTAGAATGAGTGATAAGATAACCGATAAAATAACAAGAAAAAATTGAAGCGTGTGACACGGCCAGGTCGGGTAGAGAGATAATTATCCGATATTATATTCTCACTTTAATTTAAAGCATTCAGAAAATAGCGTCAAATGATTGGTTGAGAAGGAACAGGCTGCTGTCATTTGAGCAAAACAATTATTTAATTACAATATTTAAGTAGCTGAGTGGTGGCAGCTTGAATTCAGCGATAAACAGATCTGAAATTTTCTCAAGAGATTCACAATTCCACAAAAGCTATACACATCAGGTAAATGCCTGATTATCTCAATTACAGTAGAACTCGGAGTAGGAACGTAGAAAGATCCTGTTCTAAACATCAAAACGCAATTTCATTGTTTCAATTCTAATTGTGTTTTCAACTAAAAAAAAGAACATGAATTGCGCGTGCGCATACAGCTCTTTCTGGCCAAACAGACGTTTAATCTTCTGTAAGTGCAACGACCTTTCCTGTTGAAGATGAAATTGACCAACTCATAGCTCGGGCTACTAGATGCCACAGGCAAAAAATCAAAATAACCAGAAGACAAGCAAGGAGTATTCTACAGACAATGCTGAAATCAGCGTGGAATTATGTTCGAGGAACCAATCTAACAGTTAACAGATAAATCTAATCTGAAAATATAAACTGAAGATACACGCATCTAGAAGAGTTTTTGTGGCAGTTACTCCCTTTAAACAAACTGAAGTCAGTTGGTTGCAAATTGTTCAATACTATTGCCTTTTTACTTTACAAGCTAATTAGGAATCAATTAATTTCTTCATTAATTGCCAAAGCTGAAAATACCCTCGGAAGGCTGACTAATACGTTGGATGCATCCCACCTAAGGCCCTCTCTAGCTATTGTGCTCCAGGAGATTTCCAGGTCGCATCAGCCGAAAAAGTGGAAGAGTCACCTTTAATTCACCAATAGGCCTAAACTTCACCGACGGAGGAGAATGTTTTTCAAAGGTTATGCCATAACTGTAAACTTCCGTACCCACGGTCCTGACCCCATTCTCGACACCACTCTTGCCAAAAAGCTATAAATGTGGCAATTTCTAGTGCTGAGGTATCACAAATAGAAGTTTATGAACTACAGTTTGTACAAGTCACCCTTACCTCGTGATTTCATTCCAATAAATCTGTTTTCAACAATGTCAATTCGACCCACTCCATGTCTACCCCTGCGTGGACAAAAGCAAAAAGCTGAAGCAAATTGAATATTCTGACATCTGCTTTACACACCTGAAAGACTTCATGATACTGAACTGTACAAGAAGCTATTATCGCAGTTGTGGAGTAGGATAATCTACGCAGATAAACAGGTTTTTCATGTTGACCTAGCATTGGAAAAGCCAGACTATACGACCCAGAATGACGAAGATGAGAACTGTTGCTTCCTCTTTGACGTCATCCTGCTACAAATGGCTATATCTAAGAATACAAGAGCAATAATTACCAAATCTACATGTCCCTGGTGCTTATAAAACCTAATATCGTAACAAAACATAATAGCAAAATTCAAAAGCCTTTGGGACCATTCATATATGTGTTCCTTGGTACAAATTAGCCTTCGTGAAATCGATGGCTTATAACTATAAATATTACACAAGGATCTTACCCGACTTTGTTCAAATAAGAAAATATATCAAGAGGCTTCTCAAACACAGTACCATCATCGAGATTTTTAACTTTAACCGGGACACCTGGAAAAGAAAAACGAATTGAATACATACAAACTGCCTAAAACATAAGCTTGTTCAAACTCTCAAGCATTACACCTAGCATTCTCAATCAAATCCTTTAGAACTATACTTGAGCAAAATATACCATAAATATAACCAGGTCTGCCATTTGTATTTTGCAGGTGAGCTGTTAATCGCTCCTCATTTGCTGAGGCGAGCTAAATCAGCAACATATAGAATGTACTTTTAGGGAAATCAACGAATGAGTTTTAAGCCCCTTTAGTATCTGTTGATTGGCTTTTAATAGTCTGAGAGTCAAGGAGTATGCTATTTTACTTCTTTCAATTTATAATGCTTTAACCGTTGCTCAGGCACCCCCCTTTGCTTAAAGGGTTTAAAAGAACGGATTCTTTAAGTTTCGTGTAAAGCTTGCACAACACAAAATAACAATTCTTCTACCAAACAATCTTTTTGTTCTACAAAATTTAAAAAGGGTTTGAAAAATACATTTGAAAACAGACTTAAGCTTTTTGCCTGACACTCTTCGGAGTATAAAACGTCAGAAAATAGATCGAAAACTCTACGCTAGGAAATATATATATCCAGTTATGGATCGAAATAAGCCAATCAGAAACGCGAGCAAATGACTTTGAAGTGGTCCAGTCAGTGCTGCTTGCTTATGGAATATGTTACCAATGGAGTCCTAAGGTGAAACGAACTTCTTTTATCTACATAATACCGGCTTTTCATGTTTTGTGTGGGTGGATTCCAAATCTGCTAGATGGAACGACGATCGAACTCTACCAATAATCTGAAAAATGTCGCTATTATAATTTTTCACACAATCTGGGTTTTCAAGTGAATGCCGCTCGATATCGGAATTGCATGTTTTAGTTGTTGTTTTTGATCTGCAAGACCGAGTAAGCTGTTTTCTTTGAGGGAGACTTTTGTTTCCAATGCTGGAAGGGACATGCTGTTTCATTCTATCCCCCAGTCGCCAAGTTCTTTGACTTTCCTACCCAGAATACGACAGTTTTTTTCATAAGATTGAAAGGCTCTACACTCTGCAAACATACTTTTCCCTTCACTACCTTTTTCCAAACAGATTTTAGTTCTTGACTACCATAACAAAAACCAACCGACAGGCAAAAACTTTATTGCAAAAAATGCAATGATGGGAGAAATCGCTGTTACAAAAAAAACCAATTAGGTCTTGTAAGTTTTCAGGGTTCTGGGAATGCGAAAAGGGCAAATGAATGAAAATTTTAGGGGAGAGATTTTTCCTTCATGTTTTGTTTAGGAGCAATTCACAGCTCGTCTCATGTTGCCATCGCTCGCCTCAAACGGTCAGGCCTGTATTACGAATGATAATTAGGGATAGCCTTACTAAAACACTCAAACACCTCATACACTGGTATACTTGGTGTTTATAGAGTACCGAAGTGTGACGTCACCAAAAATCTATTTTTAAAATTTCTAAAATTTGGCCGCATAATCTGAAAGAACGGCATAAAATACCTCTGAATGCAAAGTCAGTTAGATATGTTCCAAATTTGGCGAGATATGGCCAATGGAAGGTTCAAAGTTTGCAAACGGATTTCTGTTACTCTGGCCTGGTTCATAAAGTTATGAACCAAGACCAAATTACAGAGGTTTGATGAGGCAAGAGCTTGTCCTTATGTGGCCATATCTAAGCCAATTCGTGATGCTTTTAGCTGATTTTGCATATTTAGAGTTATTTCATGATGCTTTTTTAGGTTCCTGGATCAAAATTCAGAAATTCTAAAAATATATTTTTATGACGTCATCACTTTGGTACTCTATTGCTTCCGTTGCCTGTAAAGACTGGTAACTAAACATTGAGAATAGCTCTGGACAAACTATTGCATAAAATTTTTCGCTAAGCGTTCTTATGACGAATTTTAAACTTTACTTTTCAAATACATGCTGGAGATTCTGTCAGTATTTTTGGGGCAAAGATTCTTTGACGCTCAAAATATTTCCTAGACTGGCAGGTATAAAATGTTACCAGCCTGAACACAAAAATGTTTTGAACTTGCACACTTAGGCTTCTTTTATCATTAACTTGAAAATCCAGAGCCGATGCAATGATGAAAAAAAGCTTTGAAAACCAGAGAAAAGGCAGAATGTTTGCAACATTGGGTTTATCTTATTTGCCATTATTTTCATGAACGGAAGCTCTCTAAATGCTACTTTGGTGCAATATTCGAAAAAAAGCTACCGTTACATTGGCAATTAGTTCAATTTGTCAATTTTAGAAATATAAAGTAAATTAGTTTTGATCTGCATATAAAAACGTTTTTATTTCAGACGTACCTCGTTTGAACTCAAGCTCAATGTTTTCCGGCTAGAACAAAATCAATAGAAACGTGATTAAGATATTATGACAAAATCTTTGTCTATTCCAATTTGAAAAAAAGGATTTAAACTACTAAAATATAAATATATATGATTAAAAAAAGACCTTAGTACAGCAAAATTTAAAGATACCACGGAAAAGTGGATAAATACCAAACTAAAGTATTTTTGGTCTGACAATCGTCAGAGTATAAACATCGGTTAATTCATAATAATAAGCAAAATTTTTTATATGGATCATAAGTAACGCGAGGAAAGAATGGAGTGTTTGATTGTTTCAAAGTTTTGATCAACCGTCGGTCGCTAACCCCCCTGATTGTGTAGACAGAAAGATATCTTACATGGTTATATGATCAATTATAATTGCAGCCACGCAGAGGCAGCATGAAACTTCTGTTTTTGCAGTCCTGGAAACTTTTTCTAAGATTTCTGTTCAAGTCTTGCTTTGTTGTGTTTTTGAACTTTTCTCTTTGAAATCTTCTTTACTTCATGGTTGAAATAAAAAAGACTTTATGGGAACTTGGCATTCACGAGAAGGTGATGTCTTATCGTCGTTTCTAAAAGACTGAACACTCCAAGAACAGGCTGAACACCCCAAGAACACCCCAAGAACACCCTAAGAACAAGCCATTAAGCCGCTGAACACCCTTTAAAACATATCAAAATCGGCATGATATTCGAAAAATAATTTGATCAATCAATCAAAATTAATTTTGGGGCGGGAAAGGACCTGATAAGTCTAATGCTGTTGGTGTTGTTACAACCAACTGATGTTTTGCGCGCCAGAAGTGTGAACGGGGGTTTGTACACGCGGAGCAAATTCGAGTTTGACTCCCTTTGTGCATTGGAGTCAAACTTCCATTGGAGGAAAAACTTCATCTTGCAGGTTAGCTACAGTTTCTATATCAGTCCATGTAACTAATAATTTTTACAATATATAGTTGCCTAGGAAGGTAAGAGGAACCGCAACACCCACAAAAACAAACAGTTTTCCGATAAAAGCGCTTAAAACTGTGCCTTAACCGACGACTAAGCAAAAGCTTGGGGGCGTTTGCCCCAAAACCAACGCAATTTCTGCCACATACATACCGTAAATCCTCGAGTTAGCCCCCATGGGTGCTTATTCATTTTTGATATTTTTTGTATGGGGGCTTATTCCAGGTGGGTTCTTCGACTTATACGAGGGGAGGGGCTTATAAAATTATTGAAGACATTAAGAAGATATTATTAAAAGATTTCGTTTATTTTAGTAGTAATTTTTTATGCGCATTTAATCAATTATTACCAAAAGTATGAATTTTTGCGGTACTTAAGAAAAAGCGCCAAAGGCAACCTTAGATGGCAAAAACCAGCAAACTGAGGGGTCCGATTCGAGCATTAACGGCAGCAGTGGGGGCTTATTAATAATTTGTAGTTCTAGGGTGGGGGCCAATTCGAGGATTTAGTGAGATTATCATGACCCCATTCGAGCACGGGCCCCAAAAATGTGCCCCTCCTAAGCCCTCTTTTAAGTCGCAAACTGTGGTCCTGCTGCTACCCTCTAACAAGTCCAACACTGTGCATTTTCTGTTTCATTTGTCGAAAAATTCCTTATAAAAAACCTCTCCAGCCTGCGAGTGCACCCGCTGGAGACGTCAAGAGAGGAGCTGTGTCTCGTTCTGCTTGCACTGGTAAACTAGTAACTAGCTAGCGTGCACTAGCATAGCGTGACCATTTGGGCAAATTAGCGGACGGGAAGAACAATTGTTTGGAAGACAATAGGTAGTCAAGTGACATGTCGTATTTTTACATTGTCACAGGATGTGAAAGATTTTCAAAACAACGGGAATTTGCTTGAATGCACAAAGGGAGTCAAACTCGAATTTGCTCCGCGTGTACAAACCCCCGTTCACACTTCTGGCGCGCAAAACATCAGTTGGTTGTAACAACACCAACAGCATTAGACTTATCAGGTCCTTTCCCGCCCCAAAATTAATTTTGATTGATTGATCAAATTATTTTTCGAATGACATGCCGATTTTGATATGTTTTAAAGGGTGTTCAGCGGCTTAATGGCTTGTTCTTAGGGTGTTCTTGGGGTGTTCTTGGGGTGTTCAGCCTGTTCTTGGAGTGTTCAGTCTTTTAGAAACGACGGATGTCTTATTAAATGATGATGCTACAATTTCTTTAGGTCGTTCCATGACCAATTTCCTGATCATTTACAACAGAATTACATCATCTGTCTTATCAGATAAACACAATATATGACTAAACAATCGCCAACACCCTTCGAAGATATCTATTGAAATTGGCCATCCTAAAATGTCTTTCAAGGCTGGATCATGGTGCATGACCAATAAATTTGAATAGCCCAAGGGAGGAAACTGTTTATTCATGTCTACACCAATCTCCTTTAACAAGCATATGGTAAAATTATTGGGATGTATAAAATAGTCATTGTACACATATAAAAAAATAGCCATGTTTTATTCTAAAATGCAAATGCTAATTATTTTAATTCACAAAGAACAGAGAAATTCCTTAGAAATATACATGAAAACTTTAAGAAAAGCTTATTTTCTTCTCCCTGAACAAACCTTTTCAGGAGCTTTGGCTGGGTCAGAGGTCATCTGATAAATATCATCAGGTGCTGGTGCCTAACAATGAATACAAAGATATGTTTATACCACATACAAATACAATTAGCAAGGTGCAAACAACAAGGTGAATGCCAAAAAACCTTATTATAAACTTATTATGGAATATCGGATTGCTGTGATAAACAATAACAAGCTGATAAACATTTTGTTTTGATAATGTGTAAAAGAATGTCTTTGGTGGTATACTGATAAGCAACAGCTTTACATCACTTTAGTTTGTTTCTGTTAATCTAATGACACTTAAACATGCTATAGTGAAATGGTAAATGAAATTATTTAAAATGCTGCTCTAGAAATCTCTCCTGCTTCCACTCCATCATAACCGGTTGTTTTTAGCTGGTTTCTGCTTACTGCTCGAAGTGAAAGGAGGCCATGAGATGGTTAGAAAATTTTTGAATTTTCATAGAGCAGTTTTCATTCTTTTGAACAAGTAAGGAAAGGAAGAGGGCAGCGGGGACTCTGGGTTTAGTTAAAGAAGCCATAAGTTTAACAAAATATATTTCATATATAATAACAGTACTTAAAATTACTTACCGCAGGATCTTCAAGTATTCCTGATTCGTAGCTGTAAAAACCAAAAAAATCCACATCATTTAACAAAGTACACCCGGTTTTGCAGTATGATAGATTTGGCAGCAGCAAAGTTTCATGCATTCTCAGAGCTGCACAGTTTTAGTATAACAGAACATGTTCCTTCCAAATAGTCAAAAAATTTTGTAGTTATTCAAATGACTATTGAAGGCTAGCTAAAATTGTTTTAAAAAGACAGATTTATAGCTTCTTAGAAAATTTTAGAAAGGCAGGGGGGTTTCTCACTGCTTTTTACTAACAATTTTTTTACTCTTTTTCTTTTACACTTACTCTTTTTACTCTTTCAATTTTCTTTACACTTTCTCTTCAACCCTATCCAGTGGTGGGGCTGCGAAGGCCCTCCTGGTGTGGGCAGTCCTCTCTCACTCTTCAGGTCCTCTGCACATTGTAATGGAGCTGCGATGGCTCCTATGAGTAATTGGTAAAAGGAAGGGGCAGTGCGGGTGAATGACTCGGCCTTGGGTAATGGCTTGAAAGCACGACCTGATAGCTCAGTGGTAGAGCACTTGACGTACAAAGTCAGGGATCTTGAGTTCGAACCTTGCTTGGGTCAGTTATTTTCTTGACTCTCTATTAGTTGTCTTTAAAATCCTGTTGCCTTTACACTAACAATTTTTTTCTAGCAATTCAGTCTAGCAATTTCTTCCATAATGCAGCATTTAGAATATTACATGAACTTCTTTGGTGACTTTATGATATAAAGTAATTAGTGGCATTTACCTTATGTGCATCAGATTTGCATCCATACTCCATGGGCTCTTTGGTGTGACTGGAAGTGGAATGTTGTTTTTCTGTTGGCAAACAGAATAAACTTTAGAGAATCTAATACAGATGTGATTTATACTTTATTCTCAATTAAAAAATTAGATATTCTCACTCCTTTTAATTTGTCAGCATTCAAAATTGAGTTTGCAAGAAGGCTTTGAAAGTAAAGCTATAGATATGAAAGATGAATTCTGATAACTTTTTCAACTCAAAGAAGGCTTCAACACAGAGCTCCCCAACCTACCACACTTACAAAAAACTTTTGAAAAACATTTATTTCCGCTACAACACTAGTTGAAAGCATTAAACCTTGAATAAAAGTGAGTTTTGTGCAGTACGAATTAAATATATACTCTACAAATAGGCAGGAATAATGCAATTATTAGATACTGAAACAAACTGAAACCTGTGCATAATCAAACAGATCCAGTCGTCCTTGAAATCTCTCAAAAAACTCAGGCATCTTCCATGGAGCAATCACCTACGAGAAATCACAATTTATCAGGCCTTTTTGTGAGAAATAGCCTACCTGAGTGACCCATAGCTCGCTTGATTTCTCTTGCATGAGCAATAGCTCTGTTAGTGAAAAATTGTTCAGGACTGTTAAAAGGTACCCTTTTGTTTGAGGTAACATCAAATGAAAAAGAATAGCTATGAGGTTCGGTAATGCACTCCAAGAAAGACTAAACCCACCCCCTTTTTTAAGTGTGCCTCATTTATAAACTTTATGTACATCACGAGGGTCACAAAGACGTTATTGACAGATGATTGCAAAATGCTGTTCCATACCTTTTTAAAAATGCCTTTACTGCCCAGAAAACGCCCTAAGCGCATTGTAGTTCAAATACTAAGTACCCAAAGTATTCCTAAACATTCACTGTGGAATTGATTTTCATATGCATTTTTCATTGAGATGTGGTTAAGTCAGCTTACTTATATTTTGTGTGTTTTGATATACCAGCTTTGTATTGTTTGTGTCACTTGCTTGGTTCACAAAAGATTACCAGAATTGTGTTTATTGATGAGACATCTATTCCTCACATCTTACCATTTTGCACAAGCGAACAAATGCTCACCACGCTCACTTGGTTGGGTTTGGGTGAATGCTGACGCGATCACGAGTGATCGCTTGCGCCAAACAAAAAAGCCTGATTTATATATTATCAACTGTCATTAACTTAACTTCAAAATTTGCAACACATTGCAGTGTAAACTAACCAGGTGGAAAAGAAGATTACAACAAAATTAGAATTTTCAAACAAATTTTCTAAGAAATACAAAAGGCAGAACCAGAAAGTCATATAAACTTTCTAAAACACTAAAGCTTATTTTGAAGACACTCTTATTTAATAGATACTTGAGCCCAATCTGCGACTGTCCCTTGTCTTTGTCTTTGGTGGCCCTCATATAGGGGCTCCCGTTACTTTAAAGGAAAAAATTGACATAGTGCCCATGCTGTTTCTAACAAATTTGTGCAGTCTACATGGCTTTAAGTAAATCATTTAAAAACAAGGTACGGTTTTTTACCTTTGCAGCAGGATACAGTGCATAGTATGTCAGCTCAAACCTGATCTGATCATTACCCTAAAGAATAGGTATCAAAATCATCGTAAAACTGAAAGAACAGGTCAGCAAATTATTGAACAATCACAGCAATTGATTACCCAGTAGCAAAATATATCATTCTTCCTGCATTCAACACTTAAACTCATCAACCTTAATGAAGTTTTAAAATCTAAATAGCTTTAAAAGTTGCCTCACTAAAACAAAGAGCTGCACTTTTTAACAAAAACAAAACTATAACAGCTACACACAGTAAGATATTATGTTGCTACAGACTAAGTTTATTCTTGGCCATGCAATTATTAATATGCAAGAACTCATTGGTCTTTGAGTAGTTTAACTATCAAATAGCAGAACTATTCATATTTTCAAAAAAGATTTGACACTTTCCTTGATCTAGTAAAATTTTAAGTATGCTGGAACAAATGACATCATTAGATAATATCTTATAGATTTGCAGGACAGAGGTCAAACCTTGCCAGTTGCTCCATGGGAAAGATATTCAGCTCCTTCTTTCTTTGCAATTTCTACTTGCTTCCTAGCAATACATGGCCTTGCTATGGCTAGGTTAAGAATTTAGGAATAAAATTAAAAATTCGAAAGATTTTCAAGTAACTAGATACTGAACAGAGGGAAGATATACAGGGCAGGGGGAAAAGCACAAAAGTGCTCATGGTAATATAAAGAAAATTGCATAAATTTTTAGCGGCAAGAGGAACAGCAGTCCTATGTGCTACCATACTTCTATATCCCTTATTCTTACTGCTTAGAGATTTTAATGTTAATCTGCTAAAATTGACATGTGAACTCAACATTGACATACAAGAGCATAGATGTTCAAAGGAATTACAAGGAAATTAAAAGGAAGTAAAATAATTTGTAGAATATACTTGCCTGTGCCCATAAGATATCTATCTTCATAAATAGCATTGGCTTGGACTGTTGGAAATATGAATTCCTCTACAAATTCTGACTTTAAATCTTCAATGTATATCTAAAAGAGAAAACGTGTTTCTTTCAATCATTTTTAAAGGTTCAGTACTTTTTCAATGAAGCTACACTACCAGGACAAAAGTATTCCAACACCTGCGAAGGTGATTAATGGCTGATCATGCAATAACTTTTGCTGTTGTCTGACTAAGCCATTGTTTAATTCGAATATTCTATTTTCATTTTTCAAAATTTTAAATCAATAATTCAAGTAACTTTTAATTAAACAGACATTTTGTGGAGATGCTTCTGGCTCTGATAAGTGCGGAAAATTTCTTTGGAATTAATGCACAAAATTTGTTGATGAAATGCACTAGGATTCTGTTTCGTTCTCAATAAACTCTCTAAGTCAGTTTTTCTTAGAGAACCTTATGGATTTCAAATCAGATCATTTTTATTGGCAACAAGAAATATTTGCTTATTTTAAGGTTAGATCTTGGTGATGGCAGAGGAAGGACATAGAGTTTGCAGATTTTGAGGTAAATTTGAATAAAATAGGCCTTGTAAGGGGGATGTATTGCTTTTGATGATAAAAACTGTCTTCCTCATTTTCCTGGCATTGATTTGATTCCACCAAAGAAACTGTTTTGCATTATTATAAAAAAGCATGTTTCACTGCATTAACTCGCATGTCGCTAGTTTATGATTTACTAATTTACATGGGCTTAACTGTACCCAAAACAATTACCCAAGGTGAAATGGGAAATTTTGGGGCTAAAGAAGTTGTGAATATTGACTTGATTTGTTTTTTCCTGATCTCTTACTATTTGCTTTCATTTTCTGTAAAAAGTTTCGAAATGTTTAGAAGTAAAAGACCAGTTACACGAAATTTTGCATATTTTCAGCACCCCTCTCTCCTCATTGAAACAATGTTCTATAGCAAGAAATTTACACCTTGGCATTAATTCAACATAGTTTATTCAGACAGTTTAAGTAATATGATATTTAACCAGCATTGTTTTGGAAGGAGGGGAATGTTTTTGTATCACAGGGCCAAGACCTTTAATTTTTTAGAAATGGTTTATTGGCTGTAGGGTGTTCAGGGGGCTTTTGGCTGGAACTATGGCTTTTTGAGACACTGTTATGAAAATAATGCCAAGAGAAGATTTTTTGCATGGAAATAAAGTAAACTTTTTGCATCATTTTATTGCTACTGAATGCCAAAAATGGATACCAGAACCAAGGCAAAATTTACAGGGGGTCAAGAAATTTATAAGTGGTGTGGCAACAACCCACCCCTGATAAGTCCGTTCCAGGTGAGGAAAACATCAAAGATCAGGTCTCCATTGCCTGAGTCAAAGAGGGCTGAAGCTGAAATGTTGAAAATATTGGCCTCAAATGGTAGTCTTTTTTATTGTCTATAATAAATCGTAAGCTAAATTAAGCTGTTGTGTTTTTATTGAAACTAGGTGCGAGGATGGCTCAGTTGTTAGAGGCACTGGCATGATCAAACTTTCTCCCAGAGTGAGGATAGTCACCAGCACTCTGCAATTCCAGGCGTAGGAATCACAAGGTGTGATCACATCGAGAGGAAGGACCAGGACACTGCTTGATAAGCATAAGCTTCTCAGTGTCCTAAAAACTACCTTCGGATGCTTGGTAGAAACAAATACAAAAATAAAAATACTAGGCCATTTGGGAGCCATTTGGTAAGACTAAGACTCTCAAATCGATTTGACCCTATTGTCAGGCTTTAATGGGAGTACCCCCTGAGCTCAGTTGGAACGGTATTGGAAGCACCCTAGGGTCTAAAGTAAAGCAAAAACTAATGAAATGAAAAACAATCTTACTTTCTTTGCACCAAGCTTGCTGGCTTTCTCCCTGGCTGCTTCGAAATCTTCATCTTGACCAATGTCAGCCTAAAAGGATTAAGATTTTGTCCAATTACGAGGGTAGCAGAACTTGTTGACAAACTAGCCTATTTTAAGTAATACTTGCCGCGGGGGCAAGAATTTGTTTATTCTAAGAGGACAATAGCATATTGTTTAAAACATTGGAAAATCACTGGGACTGGAGCGGGCTGAAGGAGCAATTGCCCCCCTAGTTAGTATGTTTAAAAAACCCTGCTCGTTCACTTTGCTCTGAAACTTTTAGGCAACGGTTTGAGGAGATGAGTCCTTGTCTATTTAGTATTTATCAGCTTTTGGCATTAGAAGGATGCGCAACCAGTGATTTTCAGCACGTGCCCGTCAACTTTCCGAAAAATGCCTTTTTTTAGAATAACCTCTTCAAAAGATTTTCCCATTTTCTGTGACTTGTGCCCCATCCAACAATTATATGCCTAAATCTGAAATATTAGGGTGACCAGTGCCTATTCTCCCTGAATAACGAGAGGAAAAGTCTTACTTTTGTAAACAAAGACACTACCTTCGTCAACGCCCACTAATTCAGTTTCCGATTGCCGCTATCAAATTAACGAGGATAGCGTTGAACGCCGTTCCTATCCGGTTCAATGTAAGCGGGGTATAAATTGCTTTGCCCCATTGAAATGTACACAATAAGTGAGCTGGTTTCTTGTTTTCTCAGCCATTAAGGAATAAATAAAACTGGCTGAATGCGACAATATTAACAAAGAGGAGACCGATCTTCAATTATTCCGCAAAGCGTGAAGCGACAAAGGAATATTCTTTTGATTATCAAAAGTTCGAAAACACCACGGTGCAACTGGCAATATTTTCCTGTTTTATGCTGTTTGGGAACGAAAACCTAAACCTTCAACACTACACCCTTAGCCGCACAACACCCCAAGGCATGAAGCATTATGGTTAAACAAAGTGTACATTTTACACGAATACGAAGCATGGTAAATTCAAATACCTCGCGGCTTTTTATTCAATACAAAAACTTACAAACGCGAAATTACTTTCAAAAATCATATAATGTTGATACAAAGGGGCGGCAAACATTGTGAATACCCGAATGTAAAATTGCTGAAAACCATACAGTTGAATTATAACAAATGTTGGAGTTAGACTGAAGGTGAAGAAAATTAATCGACATATAATTAAATTCTTTACCAGATAGCAGATAACATCAAAGCCCTTCTCTATCAACCAGACAAGAATGCAAGAAGTGTCTAGGCCACCGCTGTAAGCCAAAACAACTTTCGGTTTCTCTCCAGACATCTTTCTGATCCAAATTTGAATTTGTTACTGTCTGTGTTCTTCAACGATGCAGTCTTTTCTGCCACTCCGAAACACAGAGAACCATGTGGGCAACCTGCTGATGCAATTCCTAAATTTACGTTTTCATCCATAGCAGGAAGTGTTTCCGCTAAATGTCTGATTGGTTAATTTAAGCAACAGCCATTGGCTGGCCTTCTGTTCACATGACTGTCAACGTGACTGCTCTTAAAAACGAGTGTATATTGTGTAAACGAGTAATTTCCCTACACGAAATTACAGGTGCGACTTTGCTACAAATGTTGTCATAAATAAAGATCTTGTTTCTTTGGAATCGCAAACTTCTGTTCAGTTTCAAGGAAGCAAAAGACCTTAGTTCCGAGAGAGAAAAACAAGAAAAGTTAATTACGTCATCAAATCAGACTCCGGAAGGGCGCCTCGTACATGCGGAAAACCTGGAGGACAGCATTGATAACAGGAAAGTTTCTGTACCAGAGGTGTACCTTCACGCCCCCACGCCCCCCCCCTCAATGTCTGCAAACTTCAAGAAAGTTGGTCCTGCAGCGGGCGTTAATTAGGAAATTTGACAAAATTTCAACCTGTAATTCATTCATTTTATTGGTCATGGTTGGTCATGGTCAACTTTTCTTTTTTGTAATCGTCTTCGAAAGGGGCATCGTTATTTCGTTTTGCACCAGAGCCTCTGAAACCTCTCGGCAGCCTTCCAGCCATATTTACCCTTCAATTCTTATGAAATTCTATAGATTAGAGAAAATTTTATAAGCTGAAATTATTGTTATGAGGAGCTCAAAAGAAGCTGTAGTTCATTTTTGCAGATAATCCTGACATTGGCTTTTCGCAAAAAGATTCTAATGGATTCACAAAAACTCGAAATCCAGGAATATTAATTTCCGCAAACTTGATTTCCTTATACTTTCCTGCAATCATTTGCTCTCACTTGTTATCATTAAGAGCCCGTTCACATAGCCTGAGTTCCAGACCCCAAACTAGAAGTATTTGGAGTCTGGGGCTCAGGCTACGTTCACACTACTTCGTTTTCAAACGGAGTCAAACTAATTCCGTTTTTGCCTTGCGTTCACACTACTCTGCTATGAAAACGCTAATGTAAACGGATACTTTCGAATACGGTGCGTATTGAATACGTTCCGTTTGCAGTGTGAACAGTGGCGGCGCCAGGGGATGGTATGGGGGGTAATTACCCCCCCCCCCACTTTTTTCGAAACATGGTCTACATATTTCGTTTAAAAACGGGTTAAAAAGCACTAGGTAGGGTAGATCATATTTCCTAAAGAAATTTGACCTGGTACAATGCACTGAAACGAGGCGATTAGGGCGTGGTCTCACTGGCTACGCCCATTACCCTCCCACTCGGCAGTAGCTGGCGCCGCCACTGAGTGTGAACACCAAAAACGGAGAAATTTGAATGCGCTAACAATGGCAACAAAATACGTGCTTTCTAGCACACCAAATCTCCAAAATTTTGAAATTGAGAATTATTTAATTTATTTTATAATGACGCCAATTTGTTGAGGATTTGTGAACGCCTCTTTTCAAAAATGAGGCCACCACCAGCGTTTTTGTTGGAGAGCAGTGTGAACACTTTTCGTATTCAAATCGTATTCATTTGAAAACGGATAAGTGTGAACGGACAGCGTTTTCATCAACGAAAACGGAGCGAAACGAGCGCGGAGTAGTGTGAACGTAGCCTAAGTGTGTATATGATCACTTATTTCATTGTTAATAAATTTTTTTATGGAGAAAAAGTTGGTCAAAAAAGTAAAGTTGGTCACTTTTTTCTCAACGCCGGAGGCATGATTGAACAGGGGGGCCAAAGCGAATAAAAAGGGCACGAATATTTTTTTCCGAAACATTAGTCAGTGCTAAAAATGGTACAGATTTCACAGTAATTTAGACATTTATAAAAATAATGACACACGTTGGACATTGAAATTTATCTTGGCTGAAAGCAGACATGGCTATGTAATTCCATTTAGAGACCACGCAGTCTTGATCAAAATTAATTGTATAGTTTCCCATCTCATGGCCTTCAAAGTATTTTGAGAGTGTAAATCTCTCTTCCATGTATGATTTATACCTCTTTTACAATACGCTGTACTTATTTTCCTTATAATTTGCATTGTAAGTGGATTTGGTCCCGGGTGAGAGGCAGGCATACATCCTCCTTTCATACTTGTGGCAGGCGCATTATACTCAACAAATGTCCAGATTTATTGCAACATACCAACAAATCCAACCCAAAATATGAACTGAATGGAATTTAATCTCTATATACTTCAAAGCGAGTTCCAGTCCCTATCTCTTTCAAAACAAAGTTTCAGCCTCATTCGAATAACGATATTAATTTTCTTACTTCTATATTTAAACAATTTAGTCCCCCTTGGTATTCGCACCCTCCCATCCCCACTTAAACACAAATTTGTTCGCCTCCATTGAATATTTTTTAAAAGCTACAAAATTTTATGGTTAAGACATCTTCACGCAATCATTCTTAATCAGTCAGAGGAAGCACAAAAAGGGCAGGAATTTACTGATATGATATTGTAGATAAATTTTTAGGTAAATCAATGGCATATTGAAGTACAACAAATTTTGCAGTACGTCTAGTCTTGTATATTGTTCTAATCTTAGATAAGAAATTTTAATCTTTGTTTAAGTCTTTGTTAGCATGTACTCATTGCAAGGACATAACTTTTTCATTTCTTCATAAAAAACATCGAACACAATATTGTGAAGTAAGCAATATGTCACAGCTATAGTTATACAGATGTCTGATTTTGTTAATATATATGTCAAGAACCATAAGGGATTGTTGTTAAAATCAAATTTAGTGAACTCTGCATTTTAACTTGCCTTTACACAAGTTTAAGAAAAAGAATGGCTCTAACTGAGCTTTTCATGCTCAGTGAAAAGCAAAGTTCACTAAATTTGATTTTAACAAATATTCCTGCCCAAGCTTAAATATTCTCTGTGAAAAGAGTCACACAATTTTGGCAAAGTCGGAGAATAGGGTATATTTTACTCAACCCAGAATCAGAGATAGAGGTCCAGTTTTTACTTTCGAGAACACACACGATTTACATTGGACCAACTGACAGTGCCCACTGGGGACTTGATCGGACCTTTCACTAATGCGTTTGTCAGGGGCGGACTGGCTAATTTTTTTGGCCCGGGCAAATTTTGATCAAACCGGCCCACAATAATAGCAAATAAAAAATTCCTCGGAAAATACAAGTGAACGTTAGTCTGTAAGGAAAACAAGTTTTTGAATTTAGTAATTTAGTGCATGGATGAATGCTGGTCAACAGAATATGGTTAACAGAACATGTTAAATATGTCATTTGCTGACTAAACAGTAAATAATGCTGGTCATCTCACTCATTGGTTTGACTCTGTTTCTTAATACAGTAACTTATATGTTGATAATGTGATCGTTCTGGACGAGGGGTAGCTCACTCTTGCAAAAAGTGTCCGAGATTTTCACAAAATCAAAATGATTTCCAGGAATTTTCTCATAAAACAATAGAATTTCCACCAAAAGTTGTACGAGATTTTAATGAAGTGATTTGCCCCTCGGTTCTGGATGTCATCTAACAGGTGTTTTTCTAAAAACACTAACATGAAAGACTCCAGATGTGGCTACGAAAAATTACTACGTAACCTGTTCTTTATATATTTAAAGTGGAAAAGCTTCTATCACACTCCACTTGTGACAAATAATTTTCTAACCCTCCGGAAAACCACAATGATTTTCAGCAACCCAAAAATATCAATTTGTCAATTTCTGACCCAAAAAAGGAAAACATGGGCACCCCTGTCGGAATTTTATCGTGTAGCACCATACCCCTGTTGGGCAGGGGGTGCATTTGACTTATGATAGTGTAGGCCTAATAAACTTTCCATAACTTGTATGAGTTATTGAAAGAAGCAAGAGCAATACCATGCTTTTTTTGTGATGTTTGTGGATTTTGCTTTATAAAAAGCTTTGTATCGTAGCTGAATCCTCACGAAATTTCTGTGCATCACCTTTGATTGAAGTCTTCTTGCTCTTCCCTTGTTCTACTTATGTCTTTTTCATTGCTTCAAATCACAGAGCAAATCGCTTAGTGAACTCTAATTTTTGGACTTTCAAATTTATTACATTAAGCAATAGCTTGTGCTTAGGCAAAAACATGACCAGCTTTAAGCAAAAGATAAGTAAAAAGACATCAGGGCAGGTTAAAATCCTATGTATCGCATTGAAACAGGGGTGTTACAGTATAGAATGTCGTCAAAAAGGAAATACCGTCAAGAGAAATATAACAATAACATGTTTCCTGAAGAAGTGTGTCTGGACTGCGGTGACAATAATGAATTCGTAATTTTAATGGTTCTCGAGTACTCGCGTGTATATTTATTCTTTCCCACAAAGTCTCTGAAAATTCAAGGCAAATAGATCAACGCGTGGGTATACTTTTTTGCCTCGCATTCACTTTTTAAGCTAGTTTATTTTTTTGCACTTTTATCAGCCGGCCCTCAAACCGACCGGCCCTTCGGGCGATCGCCCGAATAGCCCGACCAGCCAGTCCGCCCCTGGCGTTTGTTGCTAAAGACTAAGAACATTTTCTCGCGAAACTGGCAGTCTCCTTCGCAGTTGATATTGTTCATCAAAGGAGCTTGCTCTTCTTGCATCAAGACCAAGTAAAAATTTAATGAATTTTCATTAAATGGTCCTCTAACAACGTCCAGAGTTATGTTATTTTACTTAGTTTCCAAAGGCAGAATATCTGGCAGTGAAAAAATACACGCAACATATTTTTCGAAAAAGGGCACTTGTTTATACTTTTTGCAAACAGGGAGGGCCTGTGCCCCCGTGACCCCCCTGGCTCCGGCGGCCCTGTTTTAATACAAATTTCCCTGTCTACTTGACTTGGCATCATATATCTGAGACCCACAGAATGTGGCTTGGCTACATGGATTGCAAGTTGCAACAGCCTCTTTATCAGATAGAGAATAAATAAGGTAACTCGGATAAAGATGGCGTTACAGCAAGCTGTATGGAACCAGCAACTCTGTAAGTTATAATACTTTCCAGCCATCTGTTTAACAATAGCTCTAGGCTAGCTGTAATATGTTATAAATTGGCAACATTATCTAGAATCCTAAGGCAGGTTTCCTCTAGGAAAAAGGTGTCTGTAATCCCAAAGACTCAACAACAAAACCCAAAACCCCACCTCCTCTTCCTCTTTAATATTATCATGGCAGCAGATTAGATATAGTGTTTTGTTTATTATGAAACATTTTAACGAGAGAAATTCAATAAAGGCTAAACTATGCACCATGCTAACTTTATTTTATTTTATTTTATTTGGATTTATATTACGCATAAAATTTTCATTATTGAAACTAGTGGAAAATATTACATGAGATATAAAAATGCAGGAAACAGACCTGTCAACCTAAATTTTCAAAACCTGGAGATTTCAGACTTTTTGTTGAGAGAAACAGGGAGATTTGGCCAAAAACAGGGAGATCACTGGAATTTGTTGAATTTATAGACAACATATATGTACCTGTCAAAAAAAGTCATTTTGGACAAACAGTTAGTGACAACAATTATCATGGGTAGTGTCTTCCTAATGGTTTTTAACGTTTTCGTTAATTTGTAAACACTAATAAAAAACTTTGTCACAAAGAAAATCATTTCAATCATTTTTGTACTGAACATCATGAAACTCTTGGGTAAGACAGTAATCCCACAATGATTTTAAGCTGTTTTCAAATGAACTATATAGCTGCAAATGCCACGAACTGAACAGCAGAGCATTTACCCGACTAACCTAGGCAAAATATTCTTAGCTTTATTGACAAAAATAAACTATTATAAACAAATACACTCCAATGTATTACACATTAGAAGAATGTGGCACTCAGCAGTACAAAACACCCTAGTTCAATAGCTACCAAAGGGGTCCCTAAAATTTTTTATATATCAATGTTTTAAAGACTTTGCTCAAGTTCAGCTAATTTTGAGGATGTTTAAAGTTCTTCAACTGAAGCTTCTATAACCCAGCTCTTCCTTGAGAAAAATTATCATCTTTACATCTAGCTATTGTGATTGACATGCTCTACACCCTTAGATGGGAATTTCCTGCAGTCTGTAAATAGGAACCTCAAATTTCTCTGTTCCATGGCAATTAAAATGCAGGTACTTTCTGTTATATAAATGGGCATACACTTAATATAAATGGATTACTGTTTGCTTGAAATGTGACAAGGTTTTCAGTAAGCAAGTTTCAAATTACATTAAAGTGCCTGTGAAATGAAATTTGACAAGTTTAGATGAAGGCACACTTTAATTAACCAAAATTTGCTGATTTCAATGATATATGTTGAGGTTATTTAAAATTTCTTTCAAAACCTTCTAAAATTTAGGTTGAATATCCCATTTTTACGTTTTTGACTGTGACAAAGCACACATTATTTGTGACATCCCAAGTTGCAAACACCGAAGCAGTTGGTCTTTAATACACTAGAGGAATGAAGGTCGTTATTGGAACTATTAGTAAAAATAGCCAAAGGGGGCAATTGTAAGGCAGGGTCCATATCCAATCTTTTTTAGCCCATGAAAACGTCCTTTTTGCAAAGTTTCAAAGTGCAACAGAAATACAATAATACCATCTATTAAGGTCTGGGGCAATGTACCCCAGTCTAAAAAACAAGGGAGCACATTTCCAAATGGGGTCTATATCCTATTGTTTTCTGTGTATTAGATTGTCATCTTTTGCTATTGTACTTATTTTCAGAAGAGATATTGTAATAACGCCATTAAGAGCTGGGGGCAAAGAACCCTGGTCTCAAAAAGCCAAAGGGGGTCATTTTCAGTTGGGTTCTATATCCTATCTTTTTCAGTGAATCACACTACCCCTTTTTGCAAAATTTCATGCTGGAATTACAATTTGAATAATTGTTTCAATAACAGCCCTGACTAAATAGTATGGTGTGTTTATTGTGAAGACGGAACCAACTGCTAACCTTGTGACATCACTGGTCTCTTACGCTTTGTCACTCACCACTCACACTCATTGTTTTAAAACCCCCAAAAATACTTTCCCATGCAAATTTTCAAATCAATTTTCATTTTATATTGCAACAACATGTAGAAGTTGTGTAAAATTTCATTCCATAGGCACTTTAACTTGGAGTTGGTTCATTTTGAAAAATAAATTACCCCTTTGACACTTTATACCATTGCAAAAAACCAAGCAAACTGACAGGCTTATTTTTTTGCAGGTCTTGTGATTGGTTTATAAAATGGTAGTGAAAGATGGCAGATGACAGCGGAAACGGTTGCCGAAGACAAAAGCTTGATGAGCATTACAATTTAGGTAAAAAGCAATTGAGAATACTCAATTGGGTTCATTGCAAAACATTGCTTATTAAACATTGCAAAACTTTTTCTATCAATCCTTTTTTAGAATGAGGAATCCTATAATGGATGTCTGATGTGATGTCTGAGTTTCTACTTTTTCTAATTTTTGGGATGTTTCCTCATGTTCCACTTGTACAAGGAGATTATCTCTCCTAACAATTTTTTGGCAATACAAAGCTCAAAAGTTACTCTGAGAAAAACAAACATCAAATCAAACTAAAGCTTTTTGTCTGACATTCTTCAGATTAAGAAACCTAAAATAAATGATAAGGAGTTCTAAGCTAGAAAATATACGCAACAACAATTGGCCTTACTGACCAACACTTAGGGTTTTCAAAGCCACAAATAGACTCTGTATGGTATTTATATAAATATATTTTATTAATATTAGCTATTCTTTTGTATTGCCAATGTTTCCAAAACCAAGAAAAGGCATTATTATGCAACACTAGAGACCATTTCTGATATCATTAAAAGAGTTACAAAGTGCTGTGTGAAGATCTAACAAATATTATAATTTTTTTAGGCAGAGGCTTATTTGAGGGGGGAGGGCTTTTTCGAGTTTGGGGGCTTATTCAAGGATTTACGGTACTGTTCTCATTTTATCTTTTTGTTTTAGTTGTCACCCAGTTGCTCAAATACCAAAGTGCTACTATTGGATTGTTTCCTCTCCACACATCAGGGAAAGATAAAGAGGCACATATAAGAGATAATATTTATTGTGCTATCTCGATATGGGGATTGTCTTTAGCATACAGGTAATGGATTTTAGCAATATAGAATTTTGTCATTTTTCAGAGGTTTGGGCAAGGGAAGATGGTTGAATTCACTGCCTATCACCGCAAAGCTTTTAAATTTCATGTAATACACTCTTTTTTTATAAGAACCAGTAAATTTGAGTTCAGGCTGACTGTTCTTAATTTGTTCGAAAATCTGAGGCTGTGCTATTGCTAGCTTTTTTGCTCTAAGGAGGTGTTCAAGCCTCATTTGCCAACAAAGTGGGTGAGACAGCCTTAATTTGCTGACAAATTTGAATATTCACCGAAAAAACACCCACACATCGCTAAAAATCCTCGATTTTGAGAAAAAACGTTGTTCAAAATTGCAATTTGCAGAAGCTCAGCCTCGGCTTGTTCTTAATTTGTTCTTAACTTTTGACCAGTTTTGAGGCTCCTGTTCTTATAAAATGGTTCTTATAAAAAAAAGAGTGTACACTCAGTCAGTTTTGTACATAGTTGTTCATAATGCCAATAATGCACATAGAGTTCCACTTTCCAAAGAGTCTGAGATTTTTGCTGTAAATCAGTTTTTGTTTTTCATCAAGCTCTCTTTCCTGCCATTTTCCAGTCACCGGCAAGTGCTTGTATTTCTCCTTCCTCATAACATGCCCGAAGAAACTTATCTGCCTTGATTTAGTCATTTCCATCAGTTGCCCCTCTGTACCTGCTCTTCTTAGCACACTTTTATTCTGTGTCTTTTCAGTCAGGGAATTCTAAACACCCGTCGAAAAAACCTGCTGACTCCTGAACTTTCTTCACAATGCCTTTCTCATCATCCATCCCTCGCATCCGTACGTAAGAGCTCACCAGACATAGCATTTCAGACTCTAAACATTGATCTTCACCTTTCTTGCTGTTAGCACATGTGCCATTTCTCAAGTCTCTCACTTTCCTCTACCACCCTATCCAGAAGCACTTGGAGACTATTTTTCGATTCTGCTATGAGCATTGTATCATGGGCAGTGGCGTCGCTAGGAATTTTTCTTGAAGGAAGGGGGGGGGGTGTTAATGCTTTGGTTGCCGAGTAAAACGTATTTTTTTGAATTATAAAAAAATAAAACATTAAAGATGTTATTCTATAGTTACAGAGTTGAAGTTACTAAAGAGTAAGAATGCAATGAAAAAGCAAGATTAATAGCGAGCAACATTTTTTAGCAAAAATACAAATATCAGTTTTGTCTATAATTGACTGTGCCCAATGTTTCACCACTTCCATCATGTATAGTAATGCTCGCAAGAAATAATCATAAGCGATTCCAGCCGATGCTGAAGCATTGTGCTGCGGAGCTTTGTTTTAACAAGCTTGAGCTTGCTAAATGATCTTTTGTTGCTGGCAACAGTGACAGGTACGGTCAATAAAAATGCAAATGCTGCATAATATGATGGAAAATTGCTTTCTTACTTGTTGAATAACCAGCTACTTCTTTCACAGACTTTTCTTTGACTGCTTTGCTCCTGCTTTGCTCTTCCCTTATAACGCTAAGCTTTGCTAAGAGATTTGCGCTTCCAACTGCTCCAGATAGTAGCTTTGGCAATCTTCGGCTAATTCTTCGCTTAGGTAATTCCAAGGTAGCTTTAAAATTGAGAATGGTTTCATCTTTTCCATAACTTTGCTCAAGTTTTCTTTGCAGTCGTTGATAGTTTGATCCAAGACAGAAAGGCTTCCTTCCTATAGAAAAGGTCAGATGACAGTATGGCTTCGCTATCTCGATTTTCCTCCAACCGTCTGGGCGCAAGTCTTCTTCTGTGGAACCTCTCATACTTGTCAAAAGGGTCGATGTGAAATTTCTGTGCCATTGATGTGGCTGCTGTCACCTGATTTTGGATATCTTCCACATTTCGTATTTTTCCAAGGCATTTGTAGTGGAGGAAACCAGGAAAGAGCATCAAGCAAATTGATAGCTTCATCTTGAAGCTGGACAATTAATACTTTGCATCTACGCATTATGAACCTCGTGAAGCTTAAACTATAGATGAAGTCAAATCGAAGGACTTTCTTTTTTAAAGCTTTGGCTTGCTCGCTTGTTTCTTTGTTGAAATCAACTAGTTTCTCGGTAAATCGCTCGAGCAGGCTAATGATAGCTTCCAACAATATCCAAAAACTTTCAATCGATTCTGATCGAGCAACCCACGACGTTTGCGAAAGATTTCTCAATTTCAGTGATCCTTCCATTTCGTTAAACTCTTTCTCTAAAGCTTCAGGACGGTTGGTACTGCTTGAGAAAAAAACATATAGACTTTGCAATACGTCGAACATGGATGTTACCAACTTGCTTGCTTCACAGCTTCGCTCTACAAATGTGTTCATTCTGTGAGCTTGGCAAGGGATATATGGTATATCTTTCTTCTTGGGCAGTAGATCTTTATCCTTTTCATTCAAAATCGATTGACACCCTTTATAAATGCCTGACGTGCAAGATGCAAAGTCATAAGATTGGAAGTAAAGCTTGGAAATGTCAACATTGCATTGATTCAAGGCTTCCAGGATTGCAGCAGCGTGCCCTTCGCCGGTCTTGTCACTTAAAATATGCATACATAAAAGGGTTTACATAAAAGTCGCTCCACGGGTTTTTGATCAATAACGTATTTGACAACAATGGAAAGTTGATCTTTATTGCTTACGTCCGGAGTCGTGTCAGCCATTACAGAAAATGCCATAGCGTTGTTAACATCTGCAATAATTCTTTGTCGGGTGAACTTGTCCAAGATATTTATGAGTTCTGCGTCTCTGGGCTCATATATGTCACGTGATAAGGCCGAAGTCTCGTCTCGTCCAACCAGTATTTAGGAGGCTACAATAACGACTAAGAAGCTGCACAAGCGTAGCAAAGTTACTCTTATCATTCTTGTGTCCACGAAATTGAATACTTTGAGCAGCCTGTATTCTGGTTATGTCGCAAAGCATAGCCACCATTTTTGTGTTATAAGCAGCATCACTTTCATCCCACATAATTTCTTCTCGGCGTGACTTGTTCAGGAAAGTGTCTACCTGCTGAGTAGGATTCATAAAACGAGCAAAATCTTTGAGTGCTTCCTTGTGACTATAACTTGAAAAATGTTGTTGCAGCTTTCTTTTCTTCTTCGTTCCAGAACTTTTCATTTTGTGCCATTTCCCTACTCCTGTAACAGTCCACGCATCATCAGCAGATAATCGTCCGAGTCCCTTCGGAAAAAGGTTTTATCCTGCGTCTTTTCACAATTGAACAACATCAGATAGCCATAAACCTAGCAAAGAAATAAAAAGCCTCGTAAATACGTAACAGTGATTTACGACTTGATATTTCTATTACATTACAAGTGTTGCAAAACTAATCACCAATCCATAAACGTGTTTGAGTTCAAAATTTGCATAATCGTTCATTTAAATTTATAATATGTTATGGCTTCTGTGACTCTTCTGCAACTAAGTAGTTTTTATCCCAGCGACCCCATGCTCCCAATATGTACAAAACCCAGTGACCGACCTTTTTGAGGCCCTATAAGGGGGGGGGGGATGGCATTATTTCATATTCAATGATGAAATCTTGCAATTATTTCATATTTCAAAATTAACAAAGCAAAGTATTTTGAAATTGTCAAATGTTCCATTCTGCCTTCAGGCGTCACGAAAAGTGTGACCGACTCACATAGAAAATTGACCGAGTCTTCAAAACCAATCTTTGCAGCTACGAATATTGAAAATGTATAAAGAATAGGTGCATAAAAAATCAAATGAATTTCGTACTTGGGTAATTAATTCATTCTCTTTGAACTGTGGAATCATTTAGTACTTTAAAGAGGAATCTAAGGACACTGGATGAAATATCTATCTTTGTTTTGCTAAACTTATATTTTGGGAACAACTAAAAAAGAAACTCGAAAAAAATACGTGTACCAAAACTGATAGTCTTAAGTCTTTTGCGTGGAGGGTAAAACCTGAAGGGGCCAGTTTTCTACACATGCCTGGAAGAGACAATGAACTTGGAAGATTTTTGAACTTTATATTTTAGGACATCTACTTTCGCTCTACCAACCACCAAGAGCCCTAACAACCAGTAAATTCAGTTATTTAATAGATTTTCCATACTACAGTCATGCTGTTATTCCTAGTCACTTACAGTCTTAGGTGCATTGAATAGAAAGAAATAATGCTAAAATAATGTTATACGAAGCTAAAGCTAAGTGAAATCAACTCTTACGATGTTCTCTAGAAAAAATCGTAATAAATGCTGCAGATTGACTACATGATTCTAACTAAAGAATATATATTTTATAGACAGGGAATTTTGCATAACCATCTACCAACCAGCCTAACCGAAGTTTTTAAGGTTTAAATCATTAAGCCTTGGCAACCTTCTGGCAGAAGACCGGAAGTCACGTCCACGTTACAAGCTTTTTTGATGGTATCATCAGATTTGAAAAATTCGAATGTCGCAATTTTGCTGACCGTGCATTTTTCATGCTTTCAGTAAAGCGACTTCTGGTCAATTACCAGAATGTTTGCAAGGCTTAAGATGATCAGTGGCTTTTATTTTTATGATTTAAACTTCCATCGAGTTTGGAAAAAAGTTGGAGTGGACCAAATTCCCTTTGCGGTTGCGTGTTTGTGGCTTTTCATAATATAGCCTCATTATTTGATCTTTTTGCGTAACTTATAATCACTTTTAGCATTACCTATTGGCGCCATACTGAATTCAAAGGTATGGTCAGAGACAACATTTTCAAGATAAGAATAACTTTTCGGTGAATGTTAGCTCCAGATAAAAAAATTGAAGAACGAACAATATCTTTCTGAATATTATTATTAGCAAATCAATCCTGCATCTTAAATGGCTTACAAAACAGTGGTTTAGTGGTCTTAGGAAGAATTCCTAGTAAATATATGTGGAACAAGCAGTAGATAAAAGCATGTCTATTTCGATGAGATAATATAAGCAAAAAGTATTTGCGGTAGATTTTATGCTGTTGGTATTTTTCCTATACATAAAGTATGAAAAGCCTTTTAAACCCCTAGAAAGATTGAAAAGATTAAAAGAACAACCCAGGTGTAATATGGTTGTTATCTTAACAGGTCTACAGATCAATAGTCACTTGAGTCAATGCTTGAGATCAATAGTCTCGATGCTTGAGATAAAATATCTTCAAATATTCGTAATTACAAACGTGCATCTTTTTCCTCTCTATGTTATGGCCCCGGGGTAGACAGAGGTAATGCTCCCCAGGGTATCGTCTTTGTAGTGTATGTAAAGTAGTGTGTAGTTAAGTAATTACAGTAACTTGTTAGGTGTCTTTTTAGAAGTATAAAAAGTCAATGCTGTTATCAAGTATTTAATTCTCACACAACTTTTAAAGAGGTATAAATCCCCATGTGCAGTTATAAAATGGAATATCCCATTGTCTAAAAAATGAGTCTGTGTTTGAAAGATGCCATTTTGAAAGTCTCCAGCGACCCAGGGTGAACGTATCTTGCGTTGTGAGTCGCTAGGGCTTTTCAGTCGATTTCAGTGCCTGATGTGAACCAACCAGCAAGGTTTTAGATTAGGCCTACACGGAAATAATCATTCACATCTTGTTATTATTTTTGTATGTCAGACAATACTAAACAGATCTGTAGATAAATGTCCAACTCACCTTCACTCGATTAGTCGGCAACGAGACGGCGATTTAATGTATTGTTTGGCAGGACACGAGAAGATGCTGCTGATAACTATTGCAAGCTACTGACAACTGATCCGATCCGGAAGTATATCACAACAACAACAGCAATAGCAAATGTTATTAATGCAATCATATTCCTTATTTGATTTTATGGTTGCTTTCTCAAGTTATTATTATTACTGTCAACTTGAGATAAGCTTTTATTTCGTCGTTCACTTGTGTGTAAAATTGCTTAAAAGTAAAAATTACCGACTCAGGCTTCAAAATTTAAAATCTGCCGGGTTAACCGACTGTATCATCTAAATCGTGGGGGGGATGTCACACCCCCTACACCCCCCATGAATACGCCCCTGGTCATGGGCATACCTTTGGTCATATAGAAGTACAAAAAGAAGTACAAATGGGTTGTAATAGATTTGCTTGTTGCCCACAAAATTCTACCTTTGCAAATTTCTGAGTTCAATCTGTGCATAAGTTCAGTCAGCACAGATAATCTGGAGTTGTGACTACTGCAAATTTCTGAGTTCAATCTGTGCATAAGTTCAGTCAGCACAGATAATCTGGAGTTGTGACTACACAAAATTCTCATTTATTCATAGGTGGAGGGACAAATTCTTAGGTGGTGGGATATTAGATATTAGTAAAAAAATATCATACATCTACCCAAATTTAGATGCTGAGCAAGATTTGGAAAAATATCTGTAGCATGTCTACAGTAAAAATAATGTAATACCATTGTCTAGAAAAAGCATTAAAAAGAAGATTGTAAGAAAGCATTGATTTTTAAGCCTTTTGAGCATATAATATTTGTTAAATGAACAAAATTTGATCCTTCTGCACAGTCTGCATGAGTGTGGTATTGGGTGACATAAGAGCTCTGTTGTTATTATGTATTTGAAATAGCAAAGCAATTGCTGGAAATTCACAATGTTCGTTGCTTTTTTATTTAGACACATCGATGATGACCAGGGCAGAACCCATGCCTTAGAACAAAGTACTGTTAAGTGCATGAGGGGAATCCTGTTCTGTTATATGAGACAATGCAACAAAGTGGAACAATTCAAAAAAGATCAAAGATGGAGAAACACTCTTCATGCGAAATTCCATTGTGCAACTGGAGACGAGGTTGTCACTGATAATGAATATAATCATTTTCAGGTATTGCTCCCTTGAAACTTTTTTTTGAAAGTCATGCTTTCTTGCATTTTTTTGGAAGAAAATTTATCTAAAAGTAAACACTTATTTGATAAACTTTTTGTTGGATATTTATTGCCTAAAATGGTTTTTTGAAATGTTGCTGTTCAGCTCTTCTCAGTGGCAGACACCTGGGGAAATATTTAGGGGGAAGTTTTTTTGATAAGATGACACCAAACTTGTCCATTGTTTTAGAACAAAAGGCCAGCATCTTCCAAAAATATTTGGGGGCGACCACCCATCTTCGCCCCCCTAGTGTCCATTATTGTTTATAATTTAGAATCTCAATATGAAAATTGTGAAACCGTTTACCATGTGTGCTGGAAGATATTTTGTCTAGTACGTCAGCGTATAGGTTATCAAAAAATGACTCAAATAGGCTGAGGCCAGGAAACGTCTCAGTCTTTTTCATAAAGAATTTATCATGTGTGTTGTAAATAGTACGCATAAAATATTTCATGCGTGCGATTCACACTCATCTGGTTGTGCGATTTACTCAAGCTGCCACGTTGAGAGTTTACAGAAAATTCAAAGGCAACACCAATTACAATGTAATTATGCTTTTCAGAACATCTGTGTTAAAAGATTTGTTGTTTCTCTTGCGAATCTTTTTCAATTTTTAATCTTGGGTTAAATTCAAAAGCCTGGCCTCCCATTTGGCCGTTTTGATATCAAAATTCCTCCATTTTGCTCATTTTCAAAGCCATGGCCATTTGAAATTGATTTGGCTGAAAAAGCAAAAATTGGCTGCAAGTAAAAAGCCACAAAAATATGCAGGAAAAAATTATCTTCCCACAAATAATGTTCAACGACATATTAGAAAATTCCAAAATCTCCATTGACGAAACACGGAGCAGAAATACAAGATAACAGATATGGAAACCAAATAAAATTTTTGTCAATATATCATGTCTTTTTATTAAAGCAATCTTCCACACAATTAGCCAAAATTTACCTGATTTGGTATTTTTAGTTTAGCTTGCAAAGTCTGAGTGGGAACCATGTTGGCAACTATTGAATCGTGAAACATGCGTGAAATGTTTGATGGCCAATTATTAACCCTGATAAAAGTAACCCTGGTAAGAGTACATCTGGAAACCCTGATAAGAGAAAGCATGTTATGGAAATGAATTATGAATGTGATGAATGGCATCAAGACTTATTTTGACTTTATTGTCGACTTTAATCTTTGATGTCACTGCTAAATCTGATCTGATGAAAACTCTGATGATTTTATCATTGGATTTTAAAAATCCGTTATTTGATAACACACACAAGCTTTGACCATAGATCAAGCTAATCTTATTTAAACATCTTCATTATTCTTTTTTCTTTTCTTTCGTCTATCAAAGTTAGTGTTGACCGGGGTATTGAGTTTTTTCTTAATCAGCGACTAATAGAACATATATCTTAATTATTAATAATTTTCTTACTGTATCATTAGAATTAACTGAAGGGGGTTTCATGTATGAATAATTTCAAAATGAAATGAAAATACGCTTTTTCAATTCCTTTCACGAAGAGGGTTGTTGATGATATCACATTGCCTGATTTTTTATTCGATTATGATTGACAAGAGCGTTTATAAGAAGTTCAAGTTTTTTAGAGATTTTTTAAAATTTGTTCCCTATCGCCAATCTATGTATAACATTGGAAAATCATCCTAACTATCAGATTGCGCTAACACTCGAATTGTGTTTAGTTTTCGAACTTTGCATTAGGTACCTAAACATATGAAAGTGTCATTTTCATGCCATCTTTAAAAGTAGTAATCAACGCTCGTGCGATCGCACGAATATAACGTTAAACAGTCGAAGATTGTGAGAAACAAAATGTGTTTTAGTTCCACGCAAAAACTCCGCCTTTTCCCTTGTCTACTAGGGACAGTTGTTTAAAATTGAAGACGTCAACCGACTGGAGGATGATGTTAATTTGTTTTGACTCGGAGGCCAAGCTTAGGCGATTTTTTCTTTTTTGCAACATCCAGCATTTGACACATAAATGCTAAACGAAGGAACTTTCCTCATGCACGCAAAATGTACTGCTTTCTTGTGTCTGCGCGAAGTTCAGAGCATGAGTAGATCAAGAAAATAAAAAGCTATTGGATGGTCGTGCTAGACGGTTAAATTATACTTCTTTGTTCTAGATCGACATCATATCCTTGTTTTTGTTGACGTTGGCCCAGATGACTGTCTCGGGTCTGTTTGTAAGATACTTCTTTGTTCTAGATCGACATCATATCCTTGTTTTTGTTGACGTTGGCCCAGATGACTGTCTCGGGTCTGTTTGTAAGTGTGATTTCTTTCAATCTAAACTTTATTCCTACTTTATTCATAAAGATGAACTTGTAGGGATGTATCAATTTTCAAGCATTAGCCAAATGACTAGTATGTATTCATCTACCTTCTTTTTCTTCATTTCTGTGGAAGAGGTTTCTTTCCTCAATTCAGGTATAATTGAAATACTTTCCACCGTAGCGGTTTTCCAGTTAACAGCAAGGTATTACAGTTTTTCTGTATACTAGTTGAAGGCAATAAAGGATTAAATATTTTTGTATTCAATCAAGTTTTTAATAATTAGTAATGATATCTTTTATTTTAGATAATTTTCACTACAGATGAAGTTAACTTTATTCAGAACCTTGTTTATTATGTCGAGCGAACATACAGAACTGCAGATTATGGAATTTGGGAGCGAGGAACCAGGTACAATGATGGATCGAGAGAACTCTCAGCCAGGTAAAGTGCAACAAATTTCCTTAGAAAAGTGAATCAACTAATAGAGGAATATAACTGAATCATTTCAATATATTATTTATTCTAACAAGCTCCCTGTTTTGTTAGATGTGGAAAAATTTGCTTTGCATTGAGCCAGCTGTGAAGTACGTTTTGCAACAATATATTGTCATAAAATCTACCCTTAATGCACAATCTATACGAACATTTTTAGCCAGACAAAAGTCTGGTGGCAAATACTGTTTTGAGCCCAAAAAGTCATACAATTACTTTTGAGTGATTCCCATGGGACGCCTTTCATAGTTAGGATTGGAGCATTCCCTCAGTACCTTTACATCTCAAGCCCTCTAGTACCTTTTACACCTCAAGCCCCCAAGCCCCCTACCATTGCACCTTTCCATGACAATAGCCCCTTCTCCGCGATTTCGAACATCAACGGCAATATTTTATTACACAAGCATTGAAGTAATAATGATAATTACGCTCAGGAAGAAATTTTGCTAGGGTTTTCTTAATATTTAGGATAGACTGTGCTTATATAAGTAGAATAGCCCTAATCTTTCCTAAGAAATAAGTAATCAGTATCAGAAATTTTTCTCAGTATACGTAGAACAGAACCTAGTATTGTAAAGCTAATGAATTTGGCCAATCAATGTCACGGAGGGCGTTTTTGAATAGTTCATATTATTCAAAAAATCTTTAGATTCAATTACACGGAACATCTAGACTTCCAAAGAAACTACTAGGGAGAGAAGGGTTCTCATATATTTTTAGGATAGGGGTGCACCGGGTATTTTTTTGTGTCTAGAATTTGAGAAAGAGTTAAAGAAATAGATGAAACTTGAAATGTATTGTTTTTCATCAATAGTTCGATTGGAATGGCAAGAGCAGCATTGGAGGCTGTCAATGGACTGAACCTATATGGTGCGAAGGTAGTCGAGTTTATATGTGGTTGTCTTCAAAGCTTATCTGAATTTGCACGGCTCTGATCTGGTTTATTCACCACCTGTTTTTGTTTTTACAGCTGGTTTGCCTGATAAGCTTATAACTATGAACATATCGTAAGATGGTAAGCAAAGCTGAGAAGTTCTGCACATTAATAATAATCACTTTTGTGTTGATGTCTCAAAAAGCACCTAGTGTCTCACAAACAAACGGACTTGCCAAGCTTTATTCATGCAAATCTTGTAGTTTGCTGTATTGAGTTTTGAAGTAGTATGCTATATTGAGTTTTGTTGTGGTATGATATGTTATGTTGAGTTGTGTTGTGTTGTGTTATGTTGTTTTGTTTTTTGCTGAATTATGTTGTGTTGTGTTTTTTGTAGTTCATTGTTTTATATTATCTTATAGTATCCTGTTTTGTGTTTTGTTGCGCTATAAATTTTAAGTTTAAACAAGCCTTTTGAATCATTTTTAAATAGAGCGTCCAGGTGCAGGACTTTAGATCATTAACTTGTCCGTAAATCAGCAAGATTTTAAGTTTGGCATAAAAAGTAGCCAAAAGTGGTCCATGGTTCTTCAGATGCATATTTTTAGGTGAAAAACGTTTTGTAATTTCTGAAAATTAACCAGATTGATAAACAGAGCTGTTGTGTAGCTGTTACATGATAATGAGACCGATGAAACATATTTATCTGGTTATTTTATTTTTATTGGGAATTTTTTTGACAGCATCAATCATCCCAAATCAGCAAAGGAAAACAGCTCAATAGATGCGATGGGATTCTTGGAATCTTTATGAAAATTTGATTTGAAATCTTCCATGATATGCAGTCTTAGTTTAAATCGTATCTGTCTAAGATTGGCATTAGAAAAAATGGTGGGATTAGGCCAATGCCATTTACACAAACCTTCACCTCGCTAGTCAAAAAATGTTCAGGAGTTTCTAGATAATAAGAATTTCTAGAGTTTTTTATCGGAATGTTTTCTTTTTGTCCAGGGAACTTCCTGGTCCGTGCTTTATACCGATCCTGATGCCCATAACAGAAATACTAGCATTTTGAATACACTATTGCCAAGGGAATCAAGGTCCAAGGTAATTATTTTTAAATTGAAGCAGAAGTGAACTAAGATAAATGCAATTTCCCTTTATGAAGATGGTTAACCTATAATGTGAAATCTTACATTTTTCTATTCAAGAGCAAATAATAACAGTCAACAAAAGCATCTTGTACTTTGTTTAAAGCGTGATAAGAACTAAGGCTGCGTTCATACGACACCGCATTCACTTCATATCGGATTCGTCGAACGATATCGGATTGGTTTTATACCAGATAGAGCTCCGGTTTACACAACAGCGGTTACTCCGTACTGCGGGGTGCAGTCTGTTGTAGTAGAGCCTCTGCGTTGCTATTTGAGGCGCACCCAAACGTATCCTGCCATGTGAATGCACTGAAACAGGGAGAAATGGTAGGGGCAGGAAAGAAAGTAAAGGAAGAGGCTTTGGCTTGAAAAGTTCGTTTTAGACAAAGAAAGTATTTTTCCAAGTCGCCCTCTTCTTAAAATTAAGCAAAACTAGAAGTCAGATCAATAAGATGGGTAGTAATCTAAAAAATACGTCCAAGTTCTATCTTTATGGTAAGAACAAACTTCATTTAAAAGGCATCCATTTTGTTTTCTTCTCTGATGAAACAAAAATTTGTTGAAAACTGTGCTAAACGTGGGGTCGAGATCACAGAGTTTGCGATCACTAGTACTCTGCCATATCCGATACATATCGGATTGGCTGCATACCATTTTCGAAGCAGGGTGATTTCATTCCACGTAAGCAAAGCAATAAGCACATCGGATTGGGTCATCATCATGTAAAAAGAATGCCTATCTGGTATGCAACGAATCCGAAACGAAGAGAAACCGCTATCGTGTAAACAGGGCCTAATTTCCGACTCCGGCATAACGACTGCTCAAACTTCACTAATATTTTGTTGATAGTTGCTTACTTTCATAAATATGTGTGGAAGTCAAGTCTCATGTTATGTGTCAAAGACAGACATATTATATGCCATTTTTCAACGCGACGCTTACTAAATTTGACAGTACAATCTGCTTATTTTACTCATTATGCTTGCTAATCTTTTGATGTAGGAAACCGACGCAGCTTTGCTTTGCACCCTGGGATACCCAGCATTTGCTGTTGTTGATGAGAAACTACACAAGGAAACAAAAGAACGTCTTTTCAACACTTTAAAGGTTTGGGAATTGTCGACTATTTTTAAACATTTTTGAAACTTCATTTTCTTGATCCTTGTTGTGTTTTGGACAAGGAGATTCCTTATTTAGCTAGCTTACAGTCTCTAAGCTCAGTTTCTAGCTAATGCTAATTTGAATCAGGATAACACTTATGCCATTATTCCAACCATACACTCGGAGACAGTTTTCAATGCAAATATATGTAATATATCGGCTTTGTTTGTTAAGCTTTGTTCTCGTAGAGTTTCAAAAGGGAATCAGTAGTTGCAGAAAATTGAGAATTTTAGAGTACCACTTAGTTCATCTTGAAAATTTCACTTTCTTGCGATTTTGATTCATCAATCACTGGCCGTTCAGTGCCGCTCAAGATCTGACTCGATCTGATTCGTGTAGCACGCCCCTTTAGCATTATTTTTGATACAAATTGATGTTTGTCCAATTAGAAGATGCATTGTAGCACCTATTTGGTATACCGGTGTATTTACCTACCTTTTTGTCTTCTTTTTGTCTTTTCATGTCTCGGTTATGTCGGATTACGCATATATTTTGCAGGGCGAATACGGGTTAAAACGGTTTTTGAGAGATGGCTATGGGACATCAGTTGAGCCGAAGGACAGGCGGCATTATGACCGCTCTATACTTAAGGTTTGTGCTCCGATCTCATGTGATCCTTTTATCGTGTAAGACTCCGTTTACACAGTCCTGGGCCCCAAATGGAGCAGGTTCTAGACTTGGTTTTTTCTAGCGCCAGTTCCTCTCTGGTTTGTTTGCTCCAAGTTTTGTCTCCTGTGATCATTTCATTCCCAGTTGAATTAAAAACTAGAGCTGGTACAAACTGGAGCCAGTTTTCACACGAAAAGGGGCCATATTGGTCTTCATATTTATATGTAAGCCATTTTTTAATTCCATCAATGGATACAAATCTAATAAAACAATGACAAATTTACTATCTTGCGGCTCCTCTATTAGTTATAAAAATCAGCTGATTGTTAGCCATTTACTTCGTTTTTGATGAAGTGCTGTATTTGTTTCATTCTAGAACTTCGATGGCATCGAAGCAGAGTGGCCTATTTTCTATGTATACCTCGCTCTTGAAGGTAATTTAGCTCTAGATATGGGGGCATGCTGGCACAGTTATCTATTTGAAAAAGCATTAAATTTAAACTTTGTATTTTTTGTAATGCTTTTTTGTAGGCAGCAGTATAACACACAATAACACAGTACTTCCTATCTATTTAGTCCATGAAAATTCTTAGCATGGTTTTGTTTAACCTCCAGCCTATTTCCTTGGCGACCAAGAAGATGCGGTAAAATATATGAAAAAGGTGGAAAGCCTGCTTGTGACCCTAAAACAGCCAAAAACCGGTAGGTTATTTACTTTATCAATTAATACTATAAGCAAATTTTGCAGTAAATGTAGCAATAATGGTGAAAAGCCAGTGACTTCATCGGTATTCAGTGTTTAGGTTTATAACATCAGGGGGTATATTGCTGTTTATTAACTGCATTTATGGTATACTGCCTAGCTAGCATCAAGTTCTACTGCCTTTTTTCTGTTAACCAATGTTACTTAATTTTATTTACATTTTATTTAAGACACAGATGATAGCACCAACGCGAAGAAGAATAAACCCGAAGGTATGCGTTGTACGACACAGAAAAAGCTAATTTAAATGAAGAGTCCATGAAAATACCCATAACTGACAGGTCTTCAGCGACTTTAAATTGTAAAAGCTTCCTCAAAGACATTGAGAGCGTAGCTGGCTTTAGGCGCCGTGTTATCAATGATCTTCCTTATAGCTTCTACTCTTCATCCCCATAATTGATCGTGACCAAACGATGAAAAAGTTAAATCAGACAAAAATTTTATCCAGTTCAAGATCTTTTGAAGCTTTAAGCTGCTATTCAATATTAAGGGATATCATGCGCCTTAAAAAATGTCGGCGCTTTGCAGGAAAGATAGGGCTTGAACGAATCAGGAGTTTTTGGAAACTTTATCAGCCTTTGATTTCTATTGCATCTCATTTATTGAGGAACTTAAAGAAAAATTTTAGCACGGTCGTGACAGAATGTCTAGTGTTCATGAAGGGTTGATTTCTTTTAAAACTTTATAGGATGTTATGAATCTGATTTTTAATAGGAAAACAATAAGGTTATCAATCGATTTAACTACATTCAGATATGTTTCTATTCTACTGTATTTTCCACTTGCCTTAATAAGTTCATAGTAAAATATAAAACCTTGCGACAAATTTAGATCTGTTTGCTATTCTTTAAACCATTTCAGAGAAAGTTCTGCCAAAGTATTACTATGTTCCCCAAGAATACATACAACAAGAGAAGGGCAAACCTGGCTCCGTGGAACGCATTCCCGACACCGACCAAGAAGTGTTTCTCTGGGGACATTCTCTGTATTTGCTTGCTAAATTGCTTGGTATGTGTTTAATCCGTTTAAAAATAGGCCTTCAGTAACAAGTTTTTGGTTAATTCCGAAAATTCGAGGAAATTTTGTGCTGATGAAGCCCCGTATGCCGGGGTGTATTATTAGGTACCATTAATTTGCTGCTGTTCATTGCTGTTTGTTCTCGGCACGTTGCGGTGTGTCTTATTTTCTATAATTTTATCGACTTTTCACCGCAAGAGGTCCTTTGGAGTCCGTTGAGCAGCCTGCTAGCGTAGCCGTTCGTTTGAATTATCGTAAGTTGTCTTTTCTCTCATAAGACAGTGTATATCTTCAAACGACTCATAAACTCTGTGCATTTGCACTTAAATGACAGTTTTGCTTGAAAACATAAGATGATCAACAAAAGCGAAAAAATTGTTGATAGCAAGGATCTGATTTATATTCTCGCTTCTGACTTGCTATCGACCGTGACATGAGAAATACCTCTGTTGTCTTAGTTCTTTTGTTAAGATATACCAATATTTTTAGTAGGTTATAATAGACATGACTTTAGGAGCGGAAACTGATATCAGAAGTATCCTCACATCATACTGATGATGTAGCCAACTCTTTCCAAACTGATCATGTTCTGAACGTAATTTGTTTTAGTTGATGGTTTGGTAACTACGAGTGAAATAGACCCTCTCAACAGGCATTTATTTGAGAAGGCAGCTAAAATGAAGTCAATTTCAGTTCACTACCGTTATTCTTTATTTGAGGTTTGTATGAGGTTTGAAAGCTAGCCTGTCACATGATCCAATCAATTCATATTTTGACATTTTTTCTCAGTAAGCTTTTTTTATTAAAAAGGTATCTAAGCCAAAATGACCTGCAACCTAATTACAACATTAGGTCAAATAGGTATAAAAACAGTCCAGGCAGTAAACCGTTAAATTCTTTGCATTTAGAAATTAAAGAAAAATATGCTTTACCAGCTTTTTTCTTGACCTTTTCAATATGCTCGTTATAAGAACCATTTGACTTAAAAGTGACACCAAGGTACTTGTAAGAATCGCTTTCTGTAGCCTTATCTCCCAAGTGCCATTTCGTCTTAACTTAGGACTTCAGCTTCTTCCTCCGAAACGATATAATTTTACATTAACTTCCATCTGAACTTTAATTGTGAAAACATTTAACTCGTTTAGTTGGGACTGGAGATCCTCTGCTGTTTAAGATTAAAGTATAAGGTCAAATATAAAAAAGATAACGTTGTTGCATCCTACTTTCGTTTTCTCTATTATTCATAGGCTTTCCTCGAGTTTGCTGACCTCAACATGATCATGTTTTCGGGGCTTCAGATATTAGATTCGTTTTTCTCGTATTTCACTTTTTCGATCATGAACAGGAACGAATTTATAGGATAAAACCCATGTATAAAGTTCTCTGACCGTATAGCGCCAAATTTTCAGAATGGGATAGCGCTGTTTGGAGCATGAGGATCATTCTTATCTCCAGAATCAAATTCCATTTTTTCACGGCACAAAACCGTACAAACGATGTATAGATTTTACAACTCCTCCCCCTCCATTTCAATGTTTATTTCCTTGCTCCTAGATACATACTTTCGGGCTTTGAATTGAAGGATGGTCCGAGTAAAACTAACCTGCTTTCCTAATCAAACTTTAGAAATCTTTTAAGAATCTTCTTTGATTTTCAGAACTCAGGAGAGGATCTAGTTATTCAAGTTTGTCTCATATCAGAAAACAGAAAGTAAGTTCCATATCTTTATATCAATTTTTGGTGCCCTGCTGCTTGTTAAAGTCTTATGGACAAACTTTATTTCCAGGAAATGTTGAGTTATGTTGTTGTATTTTATCTGTAGTTTGAAGTCTTCACTTGCCACCTACGGTGTCGTTACTCAAACCACGAAAGAAGTTGAGCCAATCCAGATATGTGCTCCGAGTCATCTGGTCAAGGTTTGAGCATTTCTAATCCATTTATATGAGAACAGTATTTTAGCAGTGTCGTGTTGAAAGGCATGGCATAGTTATCTTGAATATTCCGGGGGTTAGAGCTTTAGAATGATAGGCTGAAGTAATGACAATAGGACTGTAGTCCCATGATAGAATGATAGTACGTGGTCCTCACCCAGTGCTAAGTAATCATTTATGCTACCAATAAAAAAGGGAATAGATAGGTTTACCAAAAGATGAAACTGTTTATTTTCTGAAAATCTGTAATTTCATATGCATAGTGTGTGAACAAACTAACACTATAAGGAGACGTTAAAAATTATCACAGCTTTATGAGCTTTGATAAAATGTTTTTGATTTCAGTGAGAACACCCTGATGCATAGGCTGATGTAGAAAATGGCCCGCCAGTTCTTTAGAAAGGAATTGTCCTTTTTTGATGCCATTTTTGCGTTATATTTTATAATTCATTAGATCTAAAGATTTCTTTAGGTTTTCTGCACAGAAACTTAGCAGAATTTAGCCGAAAGCACATGGTAGATGTACGGCCTTAAAAAAGTTGTAGGTTTAGTGGCAGACCTATTTCGACTGGTTGATTTTTAAAGGAAATGACATGCACCTTTTCATCAAAGATTCAATTGTAATTTCTGAATCATAATCTGAATATGCAAATGGCCATTTGATCAATTATGTAAATTGAAATTCAAACCTGGAAGGCATTTTGCAATCTGATACGTCACTATTGCCAGATATCTTGCCATTAAAATCACTATTGCAATAAACGCTGTTTGTTAAGATCGATCTCGCCAATGAGAACACCACGACACAAGCACAAAAAACACAAGCATAAAAATTGCTTCCAATAGAACTGAAACGTCAATTTTCCTGTCTCTCTCTTTGCTCATTTTTAGCAAATTCATATTAACATTTCCCTGTCTCTTCATTTGTTCGTTTTTTTGCAAAGAAGTGTGCATTTTTGCATGTTTTTTCTTGTCAGTTCTGTGATACCTACCTACTTTTTAAAGCTGGTGGAATTTGGGGACGGTAAGGACTGGTATTTTAGATAGAAACAGGTCAAGGTCGTTTAGCATTGTGTGTAGGCCGACCCTTGTAGTTATTTGAACCACCCAGAATCACCTCCAGATACCTCTATACAGTCGCAATTGTCGACAATGGATTTCATGACTTTCTGTTTCAAATTTCATTTTTAAACTCACATTTAACTGTAAAGAATTAAATCTTTTTCCATTTAGATTTATGAAAGACTTGGTGTGAACAAGAAATTAGCATTATCAGGACGACCAAATCGTCCCATCGGCGTGCTTGGCACTAGCAAGGTACAGTTTTAACCTGACCGTAATTTCTAAAGTATATTTGACTTGTTTTGCTCTTGTTTTGTTCTCTCGTCTATTTGATACACTGCAAATATGTTTTGTGAACTTTCTCAACATCACTTATCCGTCATTTTTTCATGATATGACAATGGGAAATCACATAATGGGAATCTCAAGCTAATTCTAAATCATTAAAAAATATGTGTACCACTTTGTAAATAAAGCTACAAATATAAGACTTCGATAGTCTAAACAAATTAAAAGGCCTATGCATAAAGCAAATGGGGATGTCAATTTGTCCAATGGCGTGCCATTGCTAAAATGGAATGAAGGTAAAGATGTGGTTTAAAACTACGAAACAAAGTTTTAGCCTTACTTTTGACTTTTGACTAGTGGGAAGTTTTGTTTGGTTAAAATTATAAGAAGAAGAAAATTGAATTAATCGTGCTTTGTCAACCCCCCTCCCCCGTCCTGATAGTAGATCTGCCCGTGCAACTTGTATGACGTAACCCGCTCAAAAAAGTCAGGTTGTCTGTGCTACGCAGTGGAAAACTTAGCAGCACCAGGTATCATGCTCTGCTTTATATCAGTGTTCTGATGCGATATTTTAAGCATTGCAAATCGAACAAAGTTGATGAGTTGGAAATGCTGCATTTATCAGAAAACTTCCTTCTATGAAAAAAGAAAAGCTTTACTTAGTTCTAGGAACATTTCAAAAAGCGTCATTCTAGCGCTAGTTTTGAGGAAGAGTCTTTATTTCCTCTCTCCTCACCTCTTTCTAGAAATAGTTTCTATTTCTTCTTTTCGTTAATTTTGCATCTTTAAATTGTAGTTAATTTAGTTTTATATGTTGAGTGTAAATTACCACAGGGTTGCTATGTAATCCCATGCTCCCTGTGGTATCGTCTGGTAAATTTGTGTATGTGTTGCAAAAATTTTATGTGAATATAAAAAAAAGAAAAAAAAGGAAGAGTCATTTACAGTGATTTATAGAGTGGACTCGGCTTAAAACCAAACTAAAAATTTATATCAAAATATACAGAAATATTCAGTACTGATTTTTCTAGCAAGATTCGGTGTGAATATAAACAGAGTCTACTGAATTGATTTTTATGATGCATTTTTATAATCTTTTCTTCTAGATATATCGCGTGCTTGGTAAAACTGTGGCAACCTACCCGATATTGCTGGACGAATCGGATTTCTACATGTCATTGGATATGTCCTTACTAATCGATGGCATTAAGGTATCGATCGCGCCTTAAAGGCGATCAGTAGATACTGATTTGGCTCCAGCCATCTGCCAATCAACAATTAACCAATCAATAGACGTAATACCATTCAGACGTTTGTTGATTGGCCAATAGGTGGTTGATTGACGGGTTTGTTAAGCCACTTCAGTATCTGGCACTCACTTTTAATGTGTAGTTGGCCTAATTTGTCTGTGACGAAATTGCGTTCTTATTCAAAATTGTACCCTAATTAACTGTTCATATAGTACACACATTTTGTGTGAAAAATGTTCTATAACAAAATTCAGTATTGAGACTGCAGGAAAGTTCAGCGGCTCTCAATACCTTTTCATGCATTTCAGAAAAAAAGATCCATTTTCTTTCATTTTGGTTTTTTCCGTTCCTATTTGTCACTGTGAAACTGTGTAAATTTACGGATAAGCAATATTCAAGATAAATTTGCTACGCAATAAGGATTTTCTGCCGTATAAAAATTAGGAAACTTGCATTAGACAACTCATAAAATGTTTGCATAAACGATTCTTATTGAAATAAGAAACGTTAATAATGAGAATCCCATCAAAATTGGAAGGATTCTAGCAATAAAAAGACACCCATTCTTCCTACATAGGAATATGATCAGCGCCTTTTATTACAGCCGTAGCAAATATTAGGCGTTAATTCTAGCCTCATTTTTGTTTTACTCTTCCTGTCTTTCTTAACTGCTCTTTAATCTATTTGCTCACTTATTGTGTTAATTGTGTTCACGCGCGCTTGCTTATTTTCTTATACCTAAAACATACCCAATCAGGGCGACGTCAGAAATTTACGTCGATTAGACAACTAAGAAGTATCGCAGCTTTTTCAAAAGATTTAGTAAAACAAATTTTCTTGATCTTTGGATATATATATATCTGAGAGGCCTGAAAGATTTTATATGTAAGTCTAAGCCAAGTATAAATATTTTGATTTGTGTCCAGGTATACTCAATCAGGGCGACGTGACCCTACATCGTCTTAATTAATATATTTTCATGTCTTGTTCTTTATAAGTTAACTTGAGTTGACCATAAGCTTTTTATACACATGCTGTTTTACTCTTGTATATTGCTATGAAAGAACTGTCTTCATATCCATAAACCAACCTTTTATCTACTTGTCTTTTCCCCATTGATATAGAAACTTAAATGGCAAATGAAGATTCCATTTTTTATAACGATACACAAACTTACCTTTTACACTGCAAAAATTAATTTGATCGATGATTAATTAAAAAATTAATAAACAGAATAAATTTTGATCAGTTAGTTTGACAGAATTTTTCCATGTACAGACTATTCTGGCGTTCATTCGAAAACGTTGGAACATGCAGGGCAGGCCAACACTTTGTATTATTCTGCGTGATCATAACTTCAGGTCAGTCACGAAGATCTAGAAACAATTTCAGTTATATGATTATAAACTGCTTATTTTGAGTTCGTCACTAATGCATTTACTTTAAGCTTCTGGTTTGAAACTTGGAACGGTCTAGCTTGGCAACTGCAGTTGGAAACAAGGCCGACGTAGAACACGTTCAAACAAACTTAAGTTGATCATCAATGTAAAGCGAGGGGCAAATCACTCTAAGAAAATCTCGTACACCTTTGTGAAAATCCTATTGTTTTGCCCGAAAATCCCCCAAAATCCTTCTGTTTTAGGCAAAATCTCGTACGCTATTTGCAAGAGTGAATCGCCCCTCGATGTAAAGTTCCTAAAAGTTTGCAGTTTATTAGCTGGTTTTATTTCAAATAAAATGCTTGTTCAATGCATTCAGTCTTGACGGAAAGCATGTCTATATACTTGTAGGTATGAGGTGTTAAGATGTGAAGGAGATAGAACAACGCATGGGTTGAACAGAACAGAACGATAACTTTATATTAACTTCAAACGGCCTACACACATAACTGTAATATTGTAAACTGTAATCTGAAACTCTTTATAAACATGGGTCACATAAAGTAATGCTCCTGCGCATAGTCAATTAGGTTACTACAAGAGGGTATATGAGGGTAATGATGCATAAGTTTTAAAGAACCTTTGTTCTTCAATTTAAATGTATGATAGTATAAGGCGTTGAATTTTCACTTTGATATTCAAATTTCAATCTTTTTTTTGTATTTCATCGTGTGTTGAATTATTGCCGAGTAAACTTAATAATTGTTAAATGAACCTAAGACATCAGTTAGTCAGAGGAGAAGGCGGGTTCCACTCAATATTTGTTTCTTAAATAAACTGTAGCAGATTTTTAAGGATAAAATAGAGTTTTTCATTGATTTCCACCCTTCATTTAAAATTTTCTTTTCACAGAGGATCTCACTTCAAAGAAATGTTAGATTTTATGGCTGCTCTTAAGAATGGGAATGTGAACGGTATCAGAGTTTTACTTGGGCGTCTTCAGGTACATGAATTAGATTTTCTATCACAGTAAAATCTATGAATAAGATTGTATCGCCCGTAATTATAATGAAAGTCCATATAATGGACCATTGTAGGGCATATATCACTGCCTATCGTAGGGTGGTTTCTTCCGTTTGCCGGTTACTTTGGCATGACTTTGAGCACAGAAAAACAACATTTTAGGAAGGAAATTATTTTAGGTTAGTTGGAGGAATCATTCACCGAGATTACATTGCAGTCCATAATGCTTTTCTTGAAAAGAGACAGCAGAAATAGAGAAAATTCTTTTGTTTGCAGGATCTATGTTCCTTTATTAGTCATTGATAAAACAAACGTTTCAAGATATCATGGAAACCCATTGTCAATGTCGTATTTAATTTCTCCTTGCCAACTGAATATGCTTAAGGGCCTTCTTTTATGTAAAATATTGTGTAAAGTAATTCAAAACAAGATTTCATTTGATTTGATGCGAGTGGGAATTTCATAGGCGCACCTATGATGGTGATTTTGCTAGAACTACTAAGAGCTCAAGAGAATTCACACACCTTTACTGTTAGCCTTTTTTATCAACTTGTTGCCCATTTTGGAATTTTGTCCTTATAATTTTTAATCTATTCCATTTCTAACAACTTCAGTTTTGACTTTTCAAAGGCCAACATCAGACCAACTTCTCTCTGGCGCTTCTTTAGACCTTCTGTGACGTTTCCACTTTGCAATGTTTGCTTGTTGTAATTTTTATGTTTGTATAGCCAGCCTTCGGCAATTTCAAGTAATGCAAGAAATTTTGAGCCGTTCTTCTACCAGGGAATACCCTTTCAGTTCAGGTCATCCTCACACTTTGAATTCAAATTTTGTATAGATATAATGAATAAAATCAAGATCTTGTAATTTATATAAATTCTCAGTTTTTTTTCTCAGTTTCATTTATCGCTAATAACTCACACTGTTTATTTCTAGTCGCAGCGTTTTTAGAATAAGATTTCGAGTGATTTTATATCTACTTTAGACATTTGTTTCTACGGCTTGCGTTGAACATTTGGACTTCATAAGAACGAAATCAGATGACAATCCATTGTAAGTCTGTACCTGCTTTTCAATGATTAAATTTTTATAATCCGGTTCAATGCTTTTTTTGCTAAAAGTCGTTTTCCGCACTGTTTCGTGTATTTTCAATTTTCTGACCCATGTTATTCCCTGCTTGTCGATTTTAGAGCTTTTCCTTCTAGATCGATAATGATATGTTTCGAAAACCGTTTGGTTTGTAAGCAAATGTTAACAACATTTTTAATTTGTATTTATTCAATTGTATTTTATCTTAATTTATTATCAATGTAAATTTTTGCAGTATAAATTACCTGAAGAGAATAGATAGTTGAAGGTCGAAAATCAAAACAAATTTGTATCAGTACTTTGTTTATTCCTGTTTATTGTCTTGCCTTTCAACTCTATTTTGTATGTCGACGGGTCTCTAAGTTCCCCAGCTTTTACGGGAGTATTTTGTTTAAAAGGGATATTCGATCGGAAGATCTGTTTCGGCCAAGTGAGACCCTACAGCCATCCATCGGGTTCAAATCGGTTTACAACCCGGACTTGCGGGGAGAAATTGATCTAGAACGCGATGAAGAAGACAGCGCCAACTACGACCACAAATCAACGGAAGATATCGTTGAGCTCTATCAAAGAACGACAAGTCTCAGAGCAAAAGTCGACCTTCTGCATAAGTTGCTGTCAAGGTAATCCAAATTTGTGTCTTTACAATTGATATGACGTATGTTGCTATGCATACCCCTGACTTTACTAGTTGTTTTGAAACTGTTTACATCATATTGACAAAAAATGTTAAAAATTAATTCTTTATCTTATGTCACTAATGATGCGTTCACCAGGTATTTTGTAGTTTTAAAAATATTTCTCTTAAATATAGTCAAGCTTTCATTCAACTTCTTTGCAATCCAGTTTTTAGTTTCGCAGTTAAGATCATATTTTTTTATTTGCACACTTTATAGTTTATTGAGCAAATTTGCCTTTGATGCCGCACATTTGAGCACATTTTCTTCTTAAGTATTTTCCCGTTTTTCTGTGCCAGAATAGAATCAGCATATAGCCACACTCCTGACTAGGGTAACATGAAATTTAAGCTCAAAGAAGTAAAGATACACAGTTAATGCCCTGTTTACAGTCACACTCTGTTTACTTGTCACATATTTTCAAACAATATTAGTAGTGACTAAACCCGAAGCCTACTGTGCATATCTTCATGTTTTATTTGACCATAACTAAGTTAGAACAGAAGGTTGATGCTTCATTGATAAATTTCCCATTCATTATATCAAGGCACGACTACCATTTTAAAGTAATGGGAAGATCAATTTTGGACGAAATAGACGAGATCTACAGACAGGCGTCATACTTGAAGTTATGGTCAGTTGTGCGGTATTCAGCTGCATTGCTTGGCAAAGTTGTGGACAGTCTTGCCCCTGCTATTACGACGATGCTTGTCAGTGGACGACAGGTATCAGCCTGATACTGTGTGTTCAATCGTAGTATTGCTAACTGCATCATGCGTGATTGTGTGATTAGTAATTCGGTATTACTTAAGTTGACTAGTGAAACCTTCATAAAGCGGAAACCTATGAAGCCAGATATGCTGTCTGTTGTAGTGAGGTGTCCGCTTTCTAGTGAGGTGTCCGCTTTGTAGTGAGGTGTCTGTTGTTTGGAGATTGCATTTTAAAGGTCTTCCAATGCAGGAAAAAATTTGTCAGAGAAGCAGTTTGCAGGTCTCCAATACAGGGAGATATCGGACATAAGAAGATTCAATTCATTCAGTTCAATTCATTCAATTCAATTCAATTTTATTTGTATACTACAGAAGAATACTACATTAATACTGTAATATACACGACCCAAGGCAAAATATGTACTTATCTAGTGTGTCATTTTACTAGAAATTCTCTGGATGAAATTGATAAAACTTTTGTCCCCTGACCGACTTAAAGAAATTTAACTCTTTTAACTGTCTGTTTGTTCACCAACGTATACGATCTGGAAAGAATTGTTCACCAACGATACGGAGTCTTGATTGGAAAGAGATCAAAACTTTTTAAAAATAACAAGACTCTATTTCAGTTATTTTATAAAACGGAAATCCGTAAAAACGTCACGACTCAGTGGATCAAGTCTTCGGTATTCAATCCAGCTCTCAAAGGCCTTTTCTACTTTTCAAGAGTTGCAATTTGAAACTGTTCAGTTACCGATAAAACCTCAATGGTATATAAATGGCTTTTTACGGTGTCTATATCATGAATCAACATCCCCTTCAATGAAAAACGACTAGTATTATGATCTGTGATATCGTTTGAGTATGCAATTTATAGTTCGTTGAAATTGAATGAAATAATTCTGTTAGATTCTTCATTCTTCACTTTTTTTCAGGTTACGATTGGAATTTTTGGACAGAACGAGCATATCATTTCTGAACCAATGACCCCAGCCTCTATACAGGTTAGCTACGCAAAACATTTTCTACGATATTGTTATTTAATGTTCAAAAAGTATTTTTTTCCTGAACGTTTTGTAAAAATGCTTGGAGACATCAGAATGCTGGATATTCTTTGAGTATGTTCTAATAGCGTCCTTATTGAAGTACCCAGAAATAATTAAAGGTAGAGTTGTATAGTTTGTAACTTAATGACTTCTTCGTTGAAGTCGGATAAAATCTTCACTTGTGTTTTAGTAATAGAATCAAATCCTATTTGAAATTCAGTTTAAAGTTTGCTATAGGCATACTTACAAAAATGGCCCGACGTGTAAGCTCTGAAAAAGGTTGAAGCCTTTTATTATCAAATCATGGCCGTATACCAACACACACAAAACCAATTCAGTCAGTGTTACGAAGTAGGAAAAATAACAATTGCAAACGCAGTAAATTAATTTCCATATCTAGTCAAAAAATCTATCGATCTCCTTTTCAATTTTTATGAGTGGTTAAAAAATATCGTCTATTTTCATAGAGTGTCATATACTCAACTTGCAAGCCCCATAATGCAAGAGAGGCTGTTCTTCAACAAGAGGTTTGTTATTTTCGTCTGAAACATTTTTTATTAAGCTAATCATTTTAACCAACAAATCAACATTATGCCCTCATGCACAAAGATCCTGCGTTTAACCAGAACTGAATGATGGAAATATGTGATTTCTCATGCAACGTTTTTACGTTGTGAGAATCTCCATCCAACTACGACGTTTGATTCCCATTTGTGCAACTTTTTTGCAATAGAAATTTCATAATACATCGTCATGGTGCCGAAGAACGTCTAGCTTTCATGGAAGCACGTGATGATTCCAGATCCAGTTCAAGAAAAAATTTTGCTCTTTGAAAACTATATCGTGTACTGTGTTCTATGTCTCTGTTTACAAAACTCTTGATGATTATTATTATAGCCTTAACAATTTTGAATGCTACTTCCTAATCATAACTTTTCAAGCCTATAGACAGGTGCAGAAAGAGCCACTATGGCCCTTTTTCTGTCCCAACTTCCAGCTGTGATCTGAGCAATATCAGCACACGTCTATATGCCAAGATCTCTTCAAATGATACTCTGGGCCTGTCTAAAAATGATTGTTAGTTTAACTAGGGTAACCTCTCTTGTATTGCAGATGTTGATATACCTAAGTGATCTGCTCAGCACGAAACCTGAGCTGTTTACAGGCATGCTTCGTTTAAGAGTTGGGTAAGTTCTGTATATTCCAATTTATAAAATAAAGCCTGAGTAATTTTAATAAGAAAAATTGCTTAATACCCTAGATTTTGTATTTGGGAAGTAATAAGTTATCAATAGCCAATTTTGATAATTTGATATTTTTATTAAGATCAATACAATCTTTTAAATATTGACGGTGTACAATACTAATATCGCTTATAGACAGTTTCTTAAGTTTTACGAGCTATATTTGTGATGTAAAAGGTTTGATTGTAATTTGCAGTTGGATAATACAAGCAATAAAAAACCAGCTCTCCCTCTGCACTGAAGATGAATGGGGACAAAAGCCGGGGGTAAGTAACAGATTTATAGATGTTGATGTTTGCGTTAGAGTAGTGCAATATCAGTTATGGTATTACGATGTCTTGTAGGAACTAGGTTTACTGCCGCACAGATGACATTCCCCCGTTCTTCGGATAAGCTGTTAGCTTCATTTGACAGCCAGAGGAAAGGCAGTGTTTAAAGAATACATGAAATGTAGAATTGATATCATTCAGTTGCGAATTTATCTTTTTGCTCTGGCCACTTTTTACAGAGAGCTTATGGAGAGATGAATGGCTGCCAATAATTTCAGTCTTGGTTTGCAAAGTCATCAATTCGATTCTCCAATTCATTTTCAGAGGCAGGATCTCGTACTAAAATAATATGTTTCACAAACATTTCAAAAGTATTTTTCACGTGTAGAAAGTTTAAATTTTGAAAATGAGGTTTGTAACAAGTCTCGAATTTTGTATCAAAAATCTAAGGAACATTTAAGTGTATATTTTTTACTTATTTGCACGAATGGAAAATGCAAAATACGAGTCATTTTTTCTGCACCCCCATTTCACGATCATTTCATTTTCCTAACTTTTATGCTCATTTTCCATGCATATATCCTCATTTTAGTCGATATACAGTCTGCCACCGAGTGCGATTAAGCAGCTCCTGAAAAGTCTTCTGAACAAAAAAGGAAATGTTCTATTTTGGGATGTCACTCCAAGGTAAGAACGTTTTCTTGTCTTGTTTACAAGTTAGTGAGGTCGATAAGCTGAAAAACGGTGCAAATTGTGTATTTTATCCTATCCTAGACGTTATCCTATCTTGTTACGAATATCAAATTGTGTATTTTCACCAAGTTTCATGATTTTATCACAATTTGCACGATTGCTGCCTGTTATGGGCCTTGTCAGCCCCACTAAGTTATCTGTCTGGAAAGCGAAGGCTACATCGTGTCGTCATTTAATGAGACTTTTAAATTTTTCAATCAATTTATTTGTCATGTTAATGATAAAGCGGTGTTTTTATTCGTTACATATCCTTATAAATTGTTCACTGTTGTAGTATACGGTTTTGTCTCAACCACCTCCAATATTCTGTATTTCCTTAAAGACTTGTTCTTATGATATTCTGCAAGGTACTAAGCTCGAAACTTTGTATGTTTTTACAGGAGTTGGCTACAGATGAGGCAGTTAGAGGGAGCTTTGAATCGTGTTCCGTCCCATTTCTACTCCAGCGGTAAGACTCTTAAGTAACTCTATAATAGTATTATAGAGCTACTTAATATAGTATTGTGACGAAGCCATTATCAGAGAAAACAAGAAACTAGGCCTATCAGTTTGTTTAATGTAATGGCTCAATTTTATCCCAAAATCACATTGTTTTAGCCGTTGTCCCATTGTTCTCTCGGGGTCAGTGGTTGTTTCTTTCCTTGTGTTAGTAAATGCAAATGTAGTTTGGCGATTGTGAAATTGCAGTGAAAATCGCAGGAAGATAATAAGCGTCATTTTTCAGTTGGCATGTTCTTGATAAATCATTGTATTATTTTATTTAAGAAAAATGCGAAACGAAATAATCTGTCTGTACTATTAAATCGTATTCCGGGTAGATACATGATATTGTGCCATTAGAATACGAGAAGCGAAATGAACAATTACTCGTTTTTCACTAGTTTCAAGCTCGGTTGATGCAATCCAGTTTGTTGATAATGCAGATACTGTTAGCTGTCATTTCTTAGAAATTAAAATTAGCAAATGAATTAATCATCCTGCATTCTTTCTCAGTGTGGACTATTCTTGAATGTGTACCCGGTGGCTTGCGACTTGGCTCTCATTATTTGCCGCAGGTAATGTGATGGCTACATCTCGTTTACCTAATGATATGAAACGAATTTTCAGACCAAAGCACAATGTTATCAGCCAACGATGAAAAGTAATAATAATGTTTTAGAACTAGAGTAATGCTATTATAACTTTGAGCTGTTAACAATATGGTAGATTTTGATTATGCGGTGCCATTCTGAACAATACTGAAAAGTAGTATTATATCGTTCCCGACTATAGCAAATGTCTGCGCTTTAGCAATTAAACTTTCTTTATAAACGTATTTCCCAAACGACTTAGCATACTGTCCTGGGATATTTACCAAACTGTTAAAACCAGCCTCGGCACATTTATCCAGCTTAATTACATTTCCACTTCATATGTTATATATCATATTTTATGTATTTACCTATTTGATATATATATATGTGCAAGTTCAAGAATCTTGACTAGTATACACTTTATGTATCGTGTTCTTTCGGACCCTTATTCTGACGTTTTATACTCCGAGGAGTGTCAGACGAAAAAGCTTTAAGTAGTATGTTTTGAAATGTTTGCTTTTTTCAAAGCCATTTTCAAGTTCTGTACCGCAAAAAAATTGTTAAAATTTATTTTTTTGGAAAAAGGACTAAGGGACATAAAATGACTAAAGTTTGAGTACTTTTATTTTTCAAAGCTAATTAAGATAGAAGCAATGCTAACTTTTGTAGCTGTAATGAGTTTAGCTACATTCTTCTGCCCATTTATGTAGCAGCCAACATTGTCTGAGATGACTGCCAATGAGGTGGATTTTTCATTGCGTGTTGAAGAGATGTTGTCGACAATAAAGCACCCTGAATTCAGGCAATCTATTGTTGAGGTGAAATTATTGCAAATTTTTTAATATTCAATTTTTTCTGCTAAATTTGCGTATTCATCAGGATATTGTTATTTTAGTACACTTTTCATATTCACCTGATAATTGCGAGCAAAGTTTGTTTACAGTTGCTGTTAGAAAATCGGGCGATCAAATACACCTTCCAAATATTAGGGTCTTCAATTTCTTCGATGATAGGTATGCGCCATATTGATAAATATGATTTCAAATTGTTGAAATGCATTGTTTGCTGGTGTGACTCATTTTTCAATGAATATTTGACTTACGTAAAACACAGCTGGTAGATGTAGCCTCAGTACCGAGGAAAGATAGATTTATCGAGGGAGGCACTGTTTTGGAAAAATAGAAACAAAAAGGATTTTCGTTGTCTGCAAAGAATTATTGTTATGTGGGCGGGGGGTGGGGGGGGGGGCACGAACCCGCCTCTTAAACAATATTACCTACGGCCCTGTTTATCCTTATTTTATACAATTATTGGTCTAGTATTTATGCGTACAGTACTTCTGTATAAAGTCGGTCTTTTTTATTTGTAGCTTTTGACTGTTATCGCGACAATATTAGAAAGAAACCCAGAACTTGAAGTTCGACAGTGTATTGATCTCGATGAGGTAGGCTTACTTGCATACTTCTGCTTTGCAGCAATTTTGTCAGGAATTCTGCCAGGCTTAATATCAACTAGCCGCTGGTTTTTGTTGTGCCTTTTCTAGACATTTTCGTGCATTTTATCCGTTTTTTTTACAAACGACAGCTAGCCCGTTTTATGTCTGCAATCTCGCGAGAGCGGTTCACAACATTCAAAAGCTGGCTCATTTTGTATCTAGAATATCATGTGATCAGTTCATGACATGCGCAAGTTGGCTCATTTTGTATCTAGAATATGATGTGAACAGTTCATGACATGCACAAGTTAGCTCATTTTTTATCTAGAATATCATATGATCAGTTCACGACATGCACAAGTTAGCTCATTTTTCATCTAGAATATCATGTGATCAGTTGACGACATGCACAAGTCAGCCCCTTATTTTTCTAGAATATCATGTGATCAGTTCATGACATGCACAAGTTGGCTAATTTTGTATCTAGAATATGATGTGAACAGTTCATGACATGCACAAGTTAGCTCATTTTTCATCTAGAATATCATGTGATCAGTTGACGACATGCACAAGTCAGCCCCTTATTTTTCTAGAATATCATGTGATCAGTTCATGACA